ATAAAAAAAAACAACAAAAACAAAAGCAAAACCAACAAAACAATAAAAAAACCAACCAACCAACCAAAAAAATACACCAAAGAAAACAGCCAAGCAAAACAGAAAAAAATTGAACACAAAACATTTAGAAGACACTGTGGTTATAAATCATCACTAACCATAAATATAGAAAGCTGACTTGTAAACATTTAATCTTTACAGTAATCAAAGTAAGCAATATAATGCATTAAATTTTAGACTGGAAATTAATATTGCCAAACTTAAGCCATCCATGTAGGTATCTGTCTGAGGTGTTCTAGGCTTTTTTCTGTAGTGTGTAGTGACAAGTAATTCCAAACGGCTATTCACCCACTCTTAAAATGAGGAGGGACAGCTGTAGTTTGACAGTAAATCCCAGCATTTTAAGGTATATCCTGTTATATAAGAAATTGCTGTCACATGATATAAAATACTGCTGGACCATCTATTTACAAATACCTCCCAACACTCAAAACATGTTTACAGGTTAGTTTTACACTGGCTGTCTGATAATGCTCAAAAAATGCTCTATATTTTGTGCTGTTTAATTGGGCAGAAACATAACTACACTCCTAGACCTGAGCCCAATGTATTCTGTAATGATGAGGGACTCAGTAGTGCAGCTATTAGCACTGAAATAATGACCTATGAAAGATGAATACATATCCATCATTTCTGAATAAAAGATAATTGGCACCTGAAATGATAAAGTTAGAAGAGAGGAAACTTCCCTGTAACACCAGATTCAAAGGCCCTTACAATCTGTGGAAAGAATCTCACCAATTTCTTCTCATATTACACACTTCACATATATTAAAGGGATTAAATAGATTATTTTAAACATATACAGAATTATTATCACTGAATGTTTTCCACATTAGTGTTCTTACTCAACTATTTTCAGTTCTCTATCTTATTTCTCAGCTGACTGACATGACGCAATGTCAGCTAAAAAAAGTTTCAATATGCCTAATATTTTGGCCTAACACTGTTTAGGTATGTTTCATTATGTCTAATATTTTGGCATATCCAAACAACTCATATCTCTGGCAAATACATCATTGTATCCTTCTCTTTCTCCTTCACTTTTCTTAATGGTCTATTTTGTGCAGAATTTACTGATCAAAAGATTTTACTGCTGATTTCATTGGTGTTTTTCCAGTGTCTGTTGGGTTCCTCACTCTCTGTCTCTGACAGTTCAGAGAAAATATGCTCTAACAGGTACTTCCTGTTTGCATATTACTTCTGGCCTGTTGTCAGCCTTTCACTCTTCTCTCAATTTAAGGATAGACCTCTGGTACCTTTTCTCTACAGCTACATTATTCAATCTATACATGCCATTTAGACATGTTCCAAAATCCTCACATTGCAATCCCACTGTTGAATTATCAGAGGTTCTTATTTTCCTTTTACACATATATACAAAGTTTTTAAAATATTCTGCTTTATTACATATCTTTTGGTACTTTGTTTTTCAGGATTTGTGGGCTCTGTTTTCTAACATGTTACCTCACTTTCATCTCAAAGGAGAGTACAGTTTAAATTAAGAGATTCTGTAGTGATCATTTGCAGATGTCCAACAAGAAAATGAAAGACATAAAAGACAACATTAGACCACGAGGCTGCTCTGCCTAGTGATGAGATGCAAAGTCATTTATTTCTTTGTTTACATTAGATGTGTAAACCAAGTTGTACTTCCACTAGTCCTGGATACTTGATAGTGGTGGAAAGTACGGAAGCACAAACAGGTTGAGTTCCCTTATTTGATCTGAAATCTATCACTTTTCCTTCTTGCCCTCAGAGTAATGCACAATCGTATTAAATAAGAAAACCTGTCCTTGTCAACCATGAAAGAGTCTCCAATATTTCTTAGAAGTTCAGCATAAAATAGTTTCTTGCCCCTCTATTCCACTCTTGCCCCTCTACTACACTCTTGTGAGACCCCACCTAGAGTATTGTATCCAGTTCTGGGGTCCCCAGCACAGGAAGGACATCAACCTGTTGGGCCAAATCCAGAGAAGGGCCACCAAGATGATTAGAGGATTGGAACATCTCCCCTTTGAGGAAAGGTTGAGAAAATTGGGATTGTTCAGCCTGGAGAAGAGAAGGCTCCCAAAAGGTCCAGTTGTGGCCTTCCAGTATCTGAAGGGAGCCTACAGGAAATATGAAGAAACACTTTTGACAAGGGTATGTGATGACAAAACAAGGGGGAATGGCTTGAAACCGAAAAAGAGTAGGTTTACATTAGGTATTAGGAAGAAATTCTTTACTGTGAGGGTGGTGAGGCACTGGAATAGGTTGCCCAGAAAAGTTGTGGCTGCCCCATCCCTGGAGGTATTCAAGGCTGGTGTTCAAGGTGTTCAGCCTGGTCTAGTGGAAGCTGCCCCTGCCCATGGCAGGAGGGTTGGAACTAGATGATCTTTAATGTTCCATCTAACCCAAATCATTCTATAATTCTATGATTATTTTCTTACAGAGATTATGAATGTTTAAATCATCAAGATAGTTCTACTATTTCAGACAAAAGTAACAAAAATAACCTTTTGATTTTTTTTCTCCCCAAAAAGGTACCCTAACAAAAAGAAAGAAACAAAATACACTAATTGACACAATTGGCAAGAAAAATCTCATAGTGAAACCTTTTTCCTTCAGATGCTCTAAATTTTACAAAATTAATAAAAACTTCCATGCTTTTTAAAGGATTGGTTTGGGCAGCCCTAGATAGACAGAATTCTAATATTACCAGTTGTAATTTATAAAAATAATAATAATTTTCTTTCTACTATTTATACAAAGTTTCAGCTTCTCTAGGCTTTCTCTTCCGCTTTTTCCCCTTTAATTTGGTGAAGGATGCTATCTCTCCTCTGTGTTACCAGATACAAATAGTTTTTCTGCATGTATTGGATGGCTTATAAAATAGTCAAATATAAATGATACCATGCTATCAATGGTGAAAATTTTCACTCTTTCAATAAATTACAGATGCAAAATTGTGTAAGAACAGTTGATAAAATGAAATAAAACTGTAAGGAACTAATAAGGAGGTTAATCCATTTTTGAAACATTTTTTGTTTAAGAAAAAGAAAATAATAGAGAAAAAATAATGCAATCAAAGTCTGAAAAAGATTTGAACATAAAATATCTGTTGTCATTGAATGACATTCCTCTAGAGGTAAAAGGGCCGATAATCCTGTTAAATACTCTTATCCAATTTCACAAAATGGCAAGAGGAAAGTAAAAGCAGATACCTCCCCTGTGTGAGCTTTCTGTTTGTTAATTACACTGTAGCTAAAGTATGAAGACACCATCTGTTTCACTCAGACAACATTACACACTCAAAGGAAGTATATGAATACTTGAAACAAAGTTGTAAAGAATTACATGTCTCTTTCCCTCATCTCCTCAGATGTATTTTTTCCTCTTAGTGAAATAATATGTCCATACAGCAACAGTGTTATTCAGGTTGTGTAGCTATTTGCACATTATTTTTAAAACCTTAACTTAGGGGAAAAAAAAAAAGAACCTCTGTTATTCTAAGAATATACACCCAAACCTGTGTATTTTGAGAAGAATCACAGTGATTTTGAAAATCTGGACTGAAGAGTAAGAGAAATGCTGAGGTAGTAAAACTTCATGGATCCTTTAAACTGTCATTATTTGATCTCAACAGACTGTAACAGCACAGAGAATTAAATAAAAAGCCTCTCTGTTCAGATGAAGTTCCAACCCTCTTTTAAGATAAATCACTGCAAATGCATCAGTAGCTGTTTTATAGCATTACTCCCATGTACCATCCATTTTTCGTTGTAACTCCATTCTTATTCTTAATTCCATTCTTATTCTATATCAATTTATTTTTCCATTGAACCTTAATGACTGCCTGAATAAGTTCTGTGCATAATGGTGTTCTCACTCTCTCTCTGACCTCAACATTAAACAGGAGTATGTCTGAGAATGGAAAGTAGATATGTGAGACTCTCCCAAACAGGTTCTGGAAGGGGTAAGGCTGTAAAATGGTAATAATACCTTGGAACTAAGGGAGTAAAAGCTTAATTCATGGCTTCAAAAACCAGGTGATGGAGCAGTAGCACTCTTTCACTTTTTACTCTCATTTACATAATTCATTCCTCCTTCAAATTACTGTATGCACACACATGTATTTGTCATACACATAGAAAGAATAAGGATAGGGTAAAACAAAGGCTAATACAACTACCAAGGACAGAAAGCACAACGAGGTAAACAGTGTTAACATTAAGAGTCTCTGTGTCAACCCATGTTAGAAACATTGCTATTGCTACACAAAATGATAACATTGGAATAGAGCTTGCTATTCTTGAAAAAATATACATAAATTTCACTGACCAGAGGAAAAAGTAGGTCAAAATGGACCTCGCTCAATGATTTCTTCTGTTTCAGTAATAAAATGTCTAAAGGGATTTAATAACAGTTAAGTAACTGTTTAGATTTGTCATCATACTGCCTGTAATAAGATGATATAGCACCAGAAGGCAAAAGGGAGAAGGGCACTGCTGTTCCTGTAGTGCTCTTTCCTGTTTCATCCTACACAAGCACAGCAGGAATGAAAACTCCCCACAGATGTCTTTGAAAGCAGAAACTCTTATTGATTAGAAAAGGATGGAGCTTTTAACATGCCTACATCACCTCCTTTGCGAAAAACACTAGTCATAATTATGAGCATTCTGGCACTGTCCCAGTTGCTCTTGAAACAAGGCCAAAACTAGCAAAGAACATGGTATTTTATTGGTTTGGGTTTTTTTTTGATTTTTGTTTTTGGTTTTGTTTTTTGGGTTTTTTTTAAGATGAAAATATAGCTTTAAAACAAATCTATAAGCCTGTGCCAATTCTTTCCCTAAAAAAGTCAAAAATGTTGTCACTGATTTCAAGTGTTTCCAGCACTGCAATTATCTGTAAGTGAACTATCTTATAAAGTAATTTTAAAATTAAATTAATCAACTTACTTGAAAACTGTATGGCGAATCCAGATTTACTGATATAAAAGTCTGTGTCAAACTGGATAGTTACTATGTTGAGTGTACTGTGAATGCCTTCAGGAACCAGTGAGCCACTAATTTCTTTGAGTAACATCTCGTTCTCAGGTGGACCATCCCAAACTCGTAGGATGTCATGGGATGCTTCAGTATCAAAAGCAAGAAATTGGAGGCTGAAAGAACACCATGATTTCATTGTCAGCTTTCATATTACCCAACAATACAACTTTAACAACAAAACCATACAAACAAAGGAAAAAAGCAAATAAATTTAATTTCTAAGGGTGATTTTCTATAATGCTTCACACATTTATCTTTGAATGCATGAAAGGCCAATACTAAAAAGTATTTGAAAGAAAACAACCTAACAATATTTGAATTTATCCACTATGAAATAATGTGTTACTTTAGCCATTCGTATAATATATAAGTAATCTACACAGTCTTCTTAGAAGAGTTTCAGTTTTCCTAAGACAATATTGTGTATCAAATTCCCATCAAAATCAATTAACCAGAACTGTAAAATCATGCAATTAACAATGTAGTATGAATAAATGTCCAATTAAAAAGAACTGCTAAATTGCAGGGTATTTTTTTTAATGTAGTCTTTCACTAAAGAGTTCTGTTGCCTCCAGCATTTCAGAAAATTATAAGCAGTTTTTAAACTTGATCTTCTTTAGTAAACTTTTATTGAAAGATAGACAGTTTCAACCCAAGCCTAAAATGCCAAAAACACTGGCCTTGAGTTGCACCTTAAATTTTAAGTTCAAAATCCCTTTTTTTCTCCACTCTAGAGCTAAGATTTGGTTATTATAGTCAAAAACATTTGTTGTAATTGTAAGACTTGTTTTCAGTACCTGACAATATTTCCTGGGTCTACTTCAATCACCCACATGCAACGCAGGTTGTTGTCATAGGGAAAAGGATAGCCAGGAGATAAGATTCTTCCGGATGATTCTCCTTTAAAACGGCCTCCACATTCAGCTAACAAAAAAAACCATTATGTAATGGTATTCCAGCTAATCAGGTGAGCAATCAGTTTATACATCTACTCTCTTGTTGAACAGCACAATTAATGACTAATATCGTAAGAGTGTATAAGAACTGCATTACACCTTTTGCTTCCCCCACTCACTCATATTCCTCTAAAAGAATATGAAAAAGAAAGAAAGCTACTATAATATTTAAGACTTGTCTCTCTTCACTCTCCCATGGGAGTAATTGAGCCTGTAGGTACTTCCAAAACTTATAAAGTTATAATAGTAATATTGTAAAGAAACAGAAATTACAAACCCCACAAAACAACTCTATATCTCTTCATATATTAATGTATTTGGTTCTATTTATTTTACAGTATTCTATGTAAATATATGAAAAGTTTTCTAGCTTAATGATATTTATATATAATTAGCAAAAAAAAATACTTATGAAACATACATGTTCCTGGTTTTCTGATTAAGCTGGTTCTTTATATTGATTATTTGCCGAGTATAACTGGATTTTCATGCATTAGGATTTTCAGTATGCAAAAATGTTTAATATTTACTATCTTTTCTAAACCTAAAAAAGGCAACACCACTCACACAGACTTAGATGAGAACTATATGCAGAGAGAACTGTAAATGCCTGTGTAAATAGATCATAGATCTAACGATTCTTACAATTTTTTGTTTCTTGCATTCAAAAAATAGCCTAAATAAATAAAGAGATAATAATACAAAAGAGTCTAATACCAATACATGATGGCAGAGGATAGTCCCATGCCCTTCTTTCCCCAGTCATACATTTCAGTAGGCTACTTCCATGGAGTGTGTAACCTGGATTGCATCCATAAATTATAGTACTTCCAGCAAAATGGCCTTGGTCACTGATTTTATATCCAAACTGTGGCACACCAGGGTCCTCACAGTGTGAAAGCTCAAAACCTGTGGGAGAATAAATTTGTAGTTACAAAATCAAACAGATAAATACTTAATGAAATTCAGATTTTCTCTATTACAGTGGAAATCAATAATTTCCAAACTCCTTGTAACAACATATTTAGGTTAAAACCACTTCTACGGTTTTGAGCAGTCTAAGTAGGATAACTGCCTATACACCTTTTTTAGAACATGGAAGACAAAGTGTGTCAGAACTTCTCAGAATTTCCTTTTTTCTGAGTTCAATTAAAGATTGAGAAGAAAATTCATTATCATTATCAATCAGTTTTAAATGATATGATAACTATAAAGTGGCAGTTAAAGTGACTGCCCATTTAGTTGTGAATAGACATTTAAAGGCTTATAAATAAAATTGAACAGTTGATTTGTTTGTCATTATTTTGCAGAGTAACAACAGCAGCACAATAGCACCTGTGGCACCAAAGAACTACTGTTATATTCATCAATACCTACCCTAATTTTGTGTTCAGTAGATTGTAAATTTAAGAACTACATGCAGGAATCAATTATAATGATGATATAGAGAATTATTGATTTTAAAAAAATGTTCTTTATTTTATTTTACAGAGAAAATGCTTCATGTTGGATGAGAATGTTTGCTTACATAAGGTCAAAAAAAAGGTATGTCAAATTCTGTATCCTTACAGTTATTCCTTCAGCTCATTTAATGTGTGACTGAAAATGCCTCACTTATTGAAGAGCCTTCACAACCTTTGAGCTGAACTCTTCTTATTCTTAAATTACTGTTTCCTGGTATAGAGTGTGCTGCAGAAGCTCTGAAAGAGGCTAAAGTGAGTTCCAGATGAAGAATCGTTTTTGATAATGTTGATCAGTTAGAATTTCCTGTCTTCTAAGAAAACTACTGATCACACTGTGTGAAAAGAAGTTAAAATCTGCCTTGATCCCTGAGATTTCCTCATCTCTGGACAGCTTCCTTATCGACAGAATCAAAGTAAACTTTTTAATAACTGATCAAGTTCCTCTTGAAGGTAAACATGTAACTGCATTTCCTAACTGTGGGTACTGGAAGCACTTTTGCTGCCCTAAGTGTGTATGATCAGGAGCACCGTGACCAGCGCAGGCAAAGGGGGCGTGAGGCCTCAGCCAGGGCATGGTAGGGCAGTTTGTGCAGGAGGACACACAGGGAGAACACTTCTTTGAAAGGGTGAACATTCCACTGGCTCAGTAGAGAGACTTGGAGCCCACATAACCCAGCAAACTGGCACCACTCTGTGATTATCTGCACAAGCCAAAAGCATTCATCCTACCTGACCCTCAATGTAGAATGGTGGGCACTCATCTGAGAGCAGAGGCTGCAGCTCTGAATGAAGGGTTTACACCATCCACCCTGGCTGATGCATCCACCCAGACAGAGCTCAGACTGAACTATTCCTTGTATCTAATCTAACCCTACCCTCTTTCAGTTTAATACCGTTACCCTTTGTCCTATTACCACATGCTCTTGTAAAAAATCCCTCTCCAGCTTTCTTGTAGACTCCCTTTAGATACTGGAAGGTGTTATAAGATCTACCCAGAGCCTTCCCTTTTCCAGGCTGAACAACCCCATCTCTCCTAGCCCGTCTTCATAGGAGAGGTGCTCCAACCCTCTGATCATCTTCATGGCCCTCATCTGGACTTTATCTCTTCCAATCCTACCAATACCAACAAAAAAAAAAAGATTCAGCACTCTTCATGCTAATAACTATTCAGGCTAGGAAAGTGTATTCTATAAGAATGTCTGTTTCAAAAGACAGAAAGTGTTAATGATAAGGTTCAAGTGTTGGGCTTGACACTTATATGGTAACACAGCACCAAAAGGCCTATCTTTAATCATAGGTTACAGTCCTATGCTATCACATGCTACTAAAGGGTATAATTATGCAATTTTCACCTTGAAAATAATTACATACTCTCCAGTATTTTGAAACATTTTCCTTTCATTTTGCAAGACTTATGTTGTTTTTTATTAGAATTAGTTTTAAAAACATGATGTAGAGTTTTTGAAACAAAAGAACAGTTTTACAAGTGAAAAATGAATTATTTAAGCACAGGGACAAAACAGGATGTTGATAGCTACAGAGTTACCTTATAATACTGTCCTGCTTGATAAAAATTCAGTTTATATAATAATTCAGTGATGATGAAATAGTTAGACGCTAAAAAAAGTCATATACAATACATGTCAATAGTCACGTACAACAATCACATACATCTTCAGAAGCTGAGACTTGATAAAATAGATGTGTATAGCTACTTCTATACACCCTCTAAACCAGAGACCTGAAAAGGTTTTCCCTCTCCTCATGTTTAGAGTTTAATTTTGTCAGTCCACATATAGGTAAGAAGGTTTTATTAGGAACCTTTCTTTATTATTTTGGTTCCAAATTGGATGATTCTAAACAACAACGCAAGCTCAGAAACAAATGCAAAGTATCAAACATTAGTCTTAAAAGGGAGAATGTCCTTTAGTTATGAATTATTTTCATGAAACAGTGTTTTGTTTACAGTTTAAAAATACTCACATGCTTCAATATTTTTATGTGCTAACACAATTAACTGAAACTTACCCTATTTCTCTTAATCTTTCCAACACTGAAAATGACTTAAAAAAAACCCAACCCTCTAGAAAAAGGACAGTGATTTAAGTATCAGACTATACAAATGATTGTCAAAGCAAGGTTTCAGTACGTTACATGTTTTGCGTCTTTTGAGGTATGATTATGAAAGTGTATTATGTTGATGAGTGATCTGCTGTTAATTTTTTCAGTATTTGTCATTTAACTGCATTTTCATCTTATGATTTTCGTTCCTTTAAAAGCATAAGTCTATTATTACTGTTTTCTCAAATACTTACTGGTATACACAAGCTGAAAACCTTCATCAGTGCCCTCTGTGTCTGAGTTAAATTCCAACCACAAATGATTTGAAGTACTACTTAGTGTCAGGCCTCTTAATGATGCCCCAGTATATGCTCCCAGCAGGTGAGCAGTGTTGTCTTTACCATCATAGATCTGTAAAAAAATGTGAATTTTACAGTTATGAAGAAAAAAAAAAGCTCCATTTTATTTACAAAACAATTCTGTACATCTCCATTTAGAGGGAGGATAACTCTGCCAAGGGAGATCTATTGCCAGTCAACCCAAAGTACTATTTGGATATATTATTTGCCTCTCTTAAACTGACTTAATTCTGGTGATTTTTCAATTGCAGAGTTTAAAATATGTCAGTTCCTTTTTCGCATAACAGTAGAAGTGGGCAGAAGTGCCATATCATCTCAGTCTTTTTAAATTTGTGTTTTCTCTTTCACTGTCAGTAATGTAATGTTGATCACAGCCTATCAACAAACACCTTTTTTGTGTAGCTGTATGTGCCTCAAGTCACTGAGATGGCATAACAGAAAAGCTCCCATATCTCCAGTTTTGGCTTATATAAACCTGTGGTGGTTTTCTTCCGTATGAAGAGAGGTTCAAATACAACTATAAAGTATAAGGAGAGTAGGAAATAAATTTAGCAACTGCTTCTGTAAGTTGAAAGAGTAATGTAATCTATATGTAAATTGGAATACAGCACTTTTATTATTTATTCTTCTTCAACTGTTGTTCTTTTACACATTTGAACCAGAAACTTTCATCAGATACTAAATATATAGAACAATCTTTTTAATAAATCTCAATAAATTTCCCTACAAATTTGATTGCTTTAAAGCATCACAGGTTGTTGGATTCCTGTAACTCCTCTAAAAACCTATAAACTTCACAATAATCACTAACCCATTCATTATGTCCCATAGGATTTATTTAGTGACTTCTAAAACAACTAAAACTTTGATAAATGGGGTTTACAAAAAATTTCACTTACAAATCAGTAAATCGACCTCCGAATAATTTTCAAATTGCAATGTAGGAAAATTGTAAAACCAGTAAAAATATGAAATTGTCTGCAGTTCTAATTGTATTAATTAGAAATTTAATTAAAGCTTGCATTTGTAAACAGGAATATTCATCAGAACTAAATTAAATACACCAGCAATAGTAGTAAGGCAACAAAGTGAATGTGAAGTATTATGATGCCTGTTCCCTATTTGTGAGAATGACCCACACACAGAAATCCTATTTTCCAAAAATCCTTATGTCTTTAGTAATAACAAAGACTTTACATTTAATCATATGCTGAAATAAAACAAATAAGTGATTTCTAGCTATCTGTAGTGAGTAAATAATTGTACAGCAGTTTAAGATCCACAACAAAATTACTTGGTATCATTCCTTGTTTTTTATTGACACAAGCAAATAAATTCCAAACAAAGTTCAATTTAAATACCAGTGTCCTTAAATGGAGTAAATGTAAGAAATAACAGAAAAGAAAAAAATATGTAATTAATGCTTATCAAATAAAAAGTAATTTCAAAATACGTACAGCAGTTGTAAAATAGATTTCTTATGTTTTTGAAAAAATTCTGTAAAACTATACTGAGATCAGTAATCAACCCAGAAAAATTAAAAAAACCTACAAAACAAGCAAAAAAACCTCCAAAACAAAACAACGAAAACAAACAACAGCTTCCCCCCTGTGAAAATTAATCTGAAACGTACTTAGTTTTGTTTTAGTAACTGAAAGAAAAATGCCCATTTAAGGAGAATTACAGCTATCCAAAAGAGGTATTTACATCATGACAGAGTTAGAGAAAATCCAGCTTGAATTTGATGCTCTGTCTCCTAATTTCTCCAAGGTACTTATAACTAATAACACCCAAGGATTCAGGATTTATTTTATTTTTAAACACTCTATAAGAGTAATCCATTTCATGTTATGTGTGTATCACTAATAATTAACCAAAGGAAGCTGTTAATAAGTTATACCAACTATTCTCAATGTCTCACCAGAACTTCCAACAAGCTACATCATGATACAAATTTTCTTCATGTTAGAATTTCCCCACACATATTTCATTGCCAGTTTTGTTAGATGTCCTACCATATTAAACTTTTCGCATTAGTGCACTGTCATCTCTTGTTAACACTAATTCTACTTCGTGGGCTAACCAGCTGTCCCACTGCACAATGCTGTTAACCCTATATAATTTCTATGAAGGAACAGAATTTAAAGTACCCTAACACTTCTGAAACTGATTCTTCTGAGTAGGAAAACTGCGTCTGGCTGAGGCAGGATTGTGATTCATTTGAACATGAAAATGAAATAATTTTTTTCTTCTGGTTCATGTCTTTCAGACACATACCTCTTTTTTTGAGACAGTGAGTCTCTCTTAGGACAATAAATGAACACATGTTTTGTAGTACAACTTTCAATTTATGTCACATCATCATTTTGTGCATTTGATTTAATAGAAAAAACCAGAAATTTACAGAATAATTTGAATGATACAGTTTAGCTTGCAAAGAAAATAGTAACAGACCCTTCTGAGATTTGCAGAACTAGCACTTTCTTTCTAACCTTGTTAAATTAGGTGGAGGTTTTTTAAAACTAGGTGGGAGCTAAAGATTTTGAATGAGTTAGTAATTCAGCTTCATAATTTGTTCTGGGAGACAATGTGAATTATATATGACTTAAGGTAGCACCATTAGCTTATTTTTAATATAGGAATATTCTTTTTTATAGGCCTTGCCAACAGACCTGGATTTAAGTCACTTTGGTGCTAAAGATAAGTCCAAGAATAATCACCATGAAAATATTCTTTGGCTGGATATATTTTTCTTAAAGTCATCCTGTAACATTAGTGCAAAGATAATTGATTCATGACTATATAATGCCTGAATAAGCAGTAACAAGCTATTCAGAAAACAGAGGTCCATATTTATCAGTTATTTAAAGACCCAATCTGTTAAAAGATTAATTCATAAAGAGGAGTCATCATCATGGCTAGGCTTCGCGAACGAAGATTTGGGAAGGCACTATCCACATTTATAAAGAGGAGTAAAGACACAGAAAATAACGTTAAACTTCTTCATATCACAATAATATTTTGAAATGTTATAGAGAAGGATGATAACAGTGAACACTCTACATAAATATGATTTGAGCTAATGGATGTTATGTTCAATTTGAGAAGGAGCAGTTATGTTTGCATTTACAGTTAGAGAGGAAATAAACCTTGTTAATCTTTTGAGTGGCTCCATTATCAACAAATTTTAAATGGAAACTAATGCCTTTTTTCTGCTAACTTTTTTTACTACACAAAAGTTTAGCGAGAGAGTAGCATGAAGTGAATGTATTAAATTTGTGCATTTTAATCAAACTATTTTTGAGATTTTCCATTGAAACATAAAAGACATATGGATATGATGATCTGTGCCTTCATAAAGAGAAGAAATAACATAAAATCAGCAGCTCAGAACTGAGGCTGTCAACGCCCTGTCAAATGTATATCACACGCAAATAGAAGCACTAATATAAAGACAGAAAAGGGCCCATATGTTTTGGGGGGTTTTTTTGGTTCCCTACATTTATTACCTATTTCTCACTCATGTTTTCCAAATGACATTGCTAGAAGTATTATGATAAACATGGAGATTCTTAAGAAACAAATTAGCAAAAAGGTCCAAAAATCACCTTCCCTCAAAATCTTTGCCCAAACCCCCTCAAAAACTGAATCATGTGCACACATTTCAAATCTGGCCCACAGATGAGACAGTAAACAAATGCAGTAAAACTGAATCCTCCATATTTGGCAGGAGAGTAAACAGTGTTGGGCCAAGCACAGGAAAAGGGAATCCTGATTGCCAGTTCTATTTTCTTCACTGACACACTGTTACCTTTCTGTTGCTGCCCTGAGTGCTCTAGTAAAAGAAGAAAGAAAGATTGCTTCATTACAGTATCAAAATAATTCTTGAATCTATTTTTTCCACACAGATGTAATCTCACTTGGTATGTCACTCTCACTCTACATAAGGCCAAGCACATAATCTACTACAAAAGATAAAAAAGATCTGCAGAAACATCTAATGTTCTTTTCCATCTCAGTCCTTTTCATACTTTCTGTTCCTCTGTCTTTTATTTTATGTTTACTTAATGGAATCTGCCTGTTGAATTTTTAGGGTGAAGGTTTGGTTTCTTTTTTTAAACATTATCAGTAAACTACCTATTAATTAGTACCCTACATAGGTACATTTTTATTTATATTGAAATTTACTGAAAAGAAATAAAACAGTCATATTAGCTTTGTTCAAGCTTCAATTTTAATAAAAGTACCTTTTCCCCCATAAAATAAAGAAGTATATTAAACTGTCTTTGAATCAGAAGAATATTTTCTACATTCAACTGATCTGAACACAAATAAAGTGTTCACCACTAACAATGGACTATTCAGGCAAAAAGAAGAATAGCAACTGCGTTCCTTTCTGTGTAAATCTAAAGGATTTGCTTACAGCTATGACAGACTACAGAGTTTACAAGAAAAATTGGCAGATGGAGATAAAAGCAGGGAAAAAAAGCAGGTAGAAATATTCTCATACTTTGGAAACAACATGTTTTATTTTAGTTTGCCTCCCACGTATGTAGTTAAAATTAAAAAATTCTGGATTCTGGAAACATAGTGCACAAACTCAGTTATCAAGAAAATTATATAGAAAGAAGCAACTGTTACAGAGTTTCTGAGATTAACATTAAATGCATTGGCATATAATGACCGTATAGATCTTAAATTCTTCATGTATCTTCTACATATGTCTTCATGTAACTTTCACAAATATTAAAACAAGATGTGACTCTATCAAGAGCAGGTTATTCCCCTACTCAAAAAATGTAGTGGGAGTTATTTATTTCTTTTAGTTTGAAATAAAAACCAACAAGAACTACAGCGTTAATGTAAGTAGCCAGAGCAGTTACATTAGAAAGAGAACAAGAGAACTGTATGCTAAGTGAAGCAAATGACAAACAAATTATATGCTTTGAAACCTCTTTACTATACCAGTTCAAAACGGATAAAAAGGAACCCCTCCTTCTCTGCCTGTGGAGTAACAGTAAGGGTGGTGATTTATTTGTGTTAAATATGTTGTTTCCCTCTAATGCTGCGTTCCTAGTATTGCTGTTTCATTGTTTCAACCACAGTGCTTGTCAGATATAAATGTGATCCATGGTCAGTTAATTCATGTGGAAAGCAGCAGACCTCATGACTTCATTAAAGAACATATCAAAAGTTTATTACAATACTCAGTCTATTCAGACTTTGAATGGAATTTTAGCTGCATAGGTTTAGTAATGTAAAATCTTAGCTGTTAGAAAAAGTAACACAAAGTACATGATTAATTTGTCAAAATTTTCATATGTCAGTTCTGATGAGAAGAGATGCATCATTCACTTCTTAACCAAAGTTTGTTACTAAAAACCCGAGCTTTAACTATAAAATATTATGGGGTTGTCTTATTTGTGTTTGGGGGAAGGAAGACCTGTCTGGAAGTTGTTGGTTTAAGTATTTTGATTTTAAAACAGTGAATTCCTTACTCTCCCTAGTTCACAGTTAAAGGGGAATTGTGTATTACCCTTTTCTGTTTTCTGTAAGACTGTTTTTTGTAAGATTGAATGATAATTTTTCCCTTTTTTTTTTTTAAGTTCCTTCTATTTACAAAGTAGTGATACATATTAGATAGGTTTACAGTATTTCTTGACTATTATTGATTCATTTAAAACTAAAGTATAACCCTAATTTCCTATTCCTGTAGTCAAGAGTTTATTCTCTACAGTCAGTAAAATAGGCAAATCAGGCAGTTCCTTCCTTTTTTTTTATTTTCATATCCAGTTCTACAAAAATAAAAGGAAGTTCCTGCAAACTTATCTTCAAAAACATTTCACTGGGATTAACACAAATCAGTCTAAGGGAATGCAGGAAAAAAATATGCGAGTAAGCAAGACTACTTTCCTGATCTTGAAGATATTAATGATAAATGTTAGGCATATTCCCAAGTCAGTCGCACACAAAATCTTCCACTGATTCTTTTCCAGTTTCTGGGGATGAGAAGTAATCAATAATAATAGGGATCAATAGAAACTTCAGAACTGGGTCTGTGAGAAAAGTTTGGAATGTGTGACTGCTAATGTATTTCCTGGAGAATTTTCCTCTATCAAATGAACATGTGAAAAAAGAGTGTGACAGAATTAAGACAGTTTCATCTAAGAAAGGAGGTAGAAAGAGACACAGTGGGTTCCATAGATATCATTTCTTCCCATAATATCAAAGGTCAAGTGCCTTTGTCTTGCTATGATGTCAGATAGGTTGAAAAAGGGTTCTTCATAAGAAGAACTACTTCTTGTAGCTGGTTTTTATGGTGGGTTTGTTTTTCTTTTAATAGTTTGGAAGGAACTCCAGGTTCTTATTATGATTCAAAGCTGCTGACTCGAAAAACAAACACTTTAATTACACAATACTAGTTTCACTTAAAAAATGCACCTGCAAAACACAGTTAATACTTTTACCACTGACATTTATAGCTGAATAGTGGCCTTCCTCTATCTATAAGTGATATGTATTACTCCTAATTTCACATTAATTGAGTAGTAGTATTAAAGGAGAATTTGCTTTTAAAAGCCTCTGAATTAACATTTTCTAGTTTAACATCTGCAGTGCACATGGTACTAATGGCACTTGAAAAATCATAAGTCATAGATCTTTCAAAATTGTATGTGCATTAAATGATTAAGAAAGAAAAAAAAAGAAAAAAGTTGAATTGTTTTACATTCATATTAACTTATATTTATCTAACTGTATATAACTGGAGCTAACATCCCTACAGTCCTATGACTTTTAAACCAATATAATAAAGTTGAATGGTTTCAACCTAAAAAGTCTTGAGAAAAATGTACCCCTATACTTTTATTGGATGGGCATAAAACATGTGGACAGAAATATGATAGTGACTTAAATGGATAATTATTCAAGTTCAAATGTAAGAAAGACCTGACTTCAAATCTGATGCTAATTTTGGTTAAAGATCTTACCAGTACTTCACTAATTTTTCTGCTTTATTAGGAAATTCCAAAATTTTTGAAATTACATATTTGCATACACCATCTGAATATTTTAACGTTAAATTGAACAACTTTTTTGGTTAGTTGGTTAGTTGGTTGGTTGTTTTATTTTTTTCTCCATGCTATATAAATAAATATTAATAAATAATTTTTAGTATTAATATAACTATATATTAATAAATATTAAGTAACTTTTGAATTAAATCTTTCTATATTGATTAATGTAACAATTAAAAGGTATCTACTTGCTTCTGAAGTAAGCAGTGAGTTCAAGATAAAATCAACATACCTGTGCATGCTGGGTACCTAGTAGCCTTAGGTTTATTTTTCTTTGCTTGTGTTTTAAGAAGAACATAATACTTCTTTTTTTTTAACCATTTGATTTATATTTGAACAATCAGACAATTATTTAATTGCTTTATGGATATCTTATTGCATTGGTGTGCTATTGCAGATGGTATGTGCTAAAAAGGGACTCACCCTGATCAACATCATCTTTAAATGTGTGGTTGGTTAAGCAATATATGCATCTAGAAATATACTTTTGGAGTGTAGTTATAAAATCTATGAACAAATCTACTGAAAAAGCTACTGAATTTATAAGGTGAAATCACTCTATAAAACTCTGGTAGGCTCTAGTACCATGTTTTTCCCTCTGTTGTTTCTTTTTTTAGTGTGAAAATTCTATTCACATGTAATTGCTGTGCTTAACATTTCGCAGGACATTACTATAGATTAGAGGCATTTAAAGTGTAAACCTCATGTACAAAATGGAACCTGTGTTAAATTAAAGTACTGGGTGTTATATTTATTATGTTTAGATCACAGTTGAAGTTATGAAGATACTGAACAAGTAAACAAATCAAAAGCTGTTATTGATTAATATTAAATACTAAAAATAGAATAGAAATACACATTAAGACAACATTAGGTTTCTGATTTACATCTCTTTAATTATCTGTGGTCAGAAAATGAGTTTTTAAGAAACAGATTATTGAGACATCTCAGGCTGTCTAATTTCTAACTTTTTAAAAATAGAACCAGTTGAGAAACATATTTTCTAAGAGATGCTTAATATCAACTTACCTGATACTGTACTATCACAGATAAATTTCAGTGCTATGAGGAACTACAAGACAAATTACATGATTACATACCTTAAGAACATCTCCTTGGGCTAAGTGAAATGTTCTGGCAGAAATATTGATTCCTTTCCCTGCTTGTACCTGAATGCTATAAATACATTCATGGTTGTTTTCATAGTTAAGAGGATAATTGGGAGACAATAAGATTCCTTCATTATTTGTTGTGGACGCTCCACATTCAGCTGCAATTAAAAGAAAATGTTAAGCCATATTTTAATAAAACACATAAATATTTTTAGTAATGTTGATAATGGTAATGTTAATGTGACCTGGTTCAAAATTAATAACATTTATTAATATCTAAAATCTAGTTCTAAGTATATGACCATGATGGTGATTGGAGGCTGCAAGAATATTTCTATTTCAACACTTTAATAAATGTATGTTAAAAAACATGAAAAGTTAAAATCATAACAGTGTACATTTCATAATTTTAATGTTTTAAAGGATCTTTCTTGAATTTTATTATGGAGGAAATATATTTAAGTTATCCAACACAGAAATTCATAAAGACTTGCAAATTAAATGAAAATAAAAGAATTCTAGAAATTTATATGCATATTTATTTCTATATACATGCACATGCATAAATATACATACATGCAGATAAATATATCTTCACATAGGATAATGAAAAAAAGAGATTTTTTTGTCTCTAATAGTAATTTATTAAACTAACTAACATAGTCAATGGTACAGTTGAAAAATAGCTATGTTATTTCTACCAGACAAATATAGAAAAAAAATTATTACAAGAATAAAGAAGTAGAAAAACATAACTGCCGGAAAAAACCCAAACAAATCAAACAGATTTAAGATTTAAAAATAAAAATAAAAAAGTATTCCCAAGTAATACTGATATTATTCCAAAAAGTAAACCTTATAATTCAAGATTTTGGCAATTAAGTAGCAGGCATTTTGTACCAGGTATTTTATTAAGCACTGAGAAACTATTACAGTTCTTTCCTTCACTTTTTATTTAGTCTTGATATGTGGCAATATAGTGCAAGGACAGGAATATTTCCTCTCTTTTTAACAGACTGAAATTAATTTTAAATTTAACTGTAACAATAAATTTTTGGGGTTTATGTTTGTTTTCAGAATCATTTTAATATTCTTGCCATTTATTTTACCCAGTCTTATGAGAATGAACTTCAGTTATTTTAATCCAAAAATATGTGGTACTTTTAATGATTTGAAAAGATGCTTAAACAAATGATGGTGTGTATTCTAAAACCTTTTATTTTTTATTAATATTATTATAATTCCCATCCCAGACTTGTTTTAGCAACATTCAGGATATAGAAATATATATCTTTTTATATGAATTTTGTACCAAAAATGACAAAAAAACCCCAACAAAACAACCAACTTAATTAACTATGCTTTCTGTATTGCTAAAGCAAACGTTGTGCAGAAAGCCAAACCAGGTACAGATCAAAGCAGAACAAATGTTTGATGACTATGTTTAATTCAGCGATACAGAACAAGTACACAATTAATTCATTACTTTCTCTTAGAATAGTTGGATACACGTACTCTAGGTAGAAGTGGAAAACCTCCTAGTCCACATGATCACATCTATCCTTTTATTTCATTCTCAAATAAATGGGTATTTGCTTACTCTGAAGATGCATAGGTCACTTTGAATTATAACATGAAGGAGTAAGATGATTGTAATTTCAAGTTTGTGAGATATCTTTTCCAATTACAAAGAGATATAAGAGCCAAAAGGCATAAGGTAATTATGGTATTAAGTTGATCCAACAACCCTAGGTTTTATCAGAACTATAATTCAAAGCAGTTTTTTAAAATCTGATCCCAGTAGAGAGCTAACTGTTAGGAGATTTTTAACTAATATTTCAGAATCATGCTAGATTTTCTGTTACAAACAAGGAATTTTTTCATGTCATAATATTTATCAATCTGATTTGAATTTTCTAAATTTAGAGACAGAGTATTGTGTTTCAAGTCGTGGATACCCTGCCCCTGGAAGTGTTCAAAGTCAGACTGGATGAGGCTTTGAGCAACCTGATCAAGTGAAAAATATTCCTACCCATGGCAAAGGGATGCACTACATGATATTCAAAGGTCCCTTCTAACCCAAACTATTCTGTGACTCTTTGTATGATTGCAACCCTTGTGTTAGCAGACAAGAAAGCTAGTTTAGCAACAGCAGTCTTGAAAACCACAGTATAATAGAATTTCTCCCATAGCATTCAGTTCTATCACCACAGTTCCATGGAAGCACACAGTGCAGCCTACAACAGTGGTTCCTTCGTACACTTCTCAGAGGAATTCTGACAAAATCAACAGTTAGTTCCCAGCTTTTCTTCTTGCCTCCTGTCAGAGCAAATTATTACTTAAAAAACCACAACAAAACAACTAACTACAAAGAATCAAACACACACATACATACAAAAAACCCTCAGGAGTATATTTCTGAATAAGTGCTGAATCAAACTGGTAAGATACACAATTAGTATTATAAGACCTCCCAAACAACACCATTGATAGTTCTATCTGCCAATCTCCACTTCTATCTATAAACATGAAAAGGTTCTCTAAAATTACATGGAACTTCATGTAACCTACAGTTTCTTTCTATTCTTTGATGTTAATATGAGAGCACAAATAGAAAGAGACCATAACTTTTCTACGTGTAATTATGTGCTGAGTAAAAAAGTGTTAGGAAAAAATAATGTTAACCAATTCCTTAAGTTTAAAATAAATTCAAATATTAAACATACGTGATTTAAAGTGTTTGGAAAAATAATTTTAGCAGGCATTACAGTGAGTGACAGATAAAAAGAGAGGCAAACCATTAAAAAATTAAGGGAAAATGTGTAAAGAGGGAAACACAGAAGGGAGAAAAGAAGTAACAAAACATTATTTCAGAGTAAGGGAAAATTTACAGAGGAGCAGAGAGTCTGTAACCATCCTTTAAAACATACTTAGAGCTATTACCAGAAATTACAAATATATTATTACTGCCTTAATATTTCATTTTAGTAGCATTCCTTGTTCAACAGAGATGAAGTTTGTATTGTTTTAACTACAATGTTTTGGGCTTTTTAAAAAATCCACTTGCTTCAGCTGAAACTTAGAACCTATGCTACACGCTCTTCTTATAGGAAAAAAAGGAATATGGAAAAATATATCACATCCAGCTATGTTTTCCCAAAGACTTTTAATCAGCCTTACATAAAGTACAAGGATGTAACAGTAAGATTGAGTTAAATCACTGTTTCTGAACTTCGGTAGGAATATAGAATCATTTTAGTATTAGAGGGGAAGATAAAAACTCAAAGAAAAATAATGAAAGGTAAAAACTTATATGGTGAGATATTTATAATAAATACACTTCTAGTTATGAATGTGCGTTCACTGTATATTTCCATAATAACACAGATGAGTAATAAACTGCTGTTTATTAGTGTATTTAAATTCTCTAATCATGTAAAATGTCACTGTTAGTGTAACCAAGGAAAGAAATGCATCTGATTGGGTAACTTAACCATTTGGACACAATGCTTCAATGAATTGAATGACTTTAAAAAAAAAAATATTAGGAGAATATTGCAATTCTCTACATAAATAATTATCAATAAAAAAAAGATGATGTGCTGCTACAGATTGAAATTCATCCAGAGAGAAATTTTCTTCAGTACAATCCCTTGGAATCCAAAGATAAGAGCTTCATCTAGCAACTCTGTGTTTTGAAAAGATGTTATCTCTTGGTTAGGAGACTCTGTATCACAACAGCTTGACTGGACAAGTAAGTGGAAGTATTCTAAAAAGGATTTTATCTTTAAGAAACTTTGTATTAGACTGTAAATCAACAGTTACTTCAGACACTGTATCTAAATTCAGTGCTCAACAAACTGTGTCTTATAAAGCTGTTAGCCTTTAGAATTTCTACCTTTTCAACTGATGCCTGGTACAAACTGGAAAATAGACTCTTGTCAAAACAAGACAGCAAAATGGAGGATAACATAGAAATCCTGAAAGGCTTAGGTTGTTGCTGAAGATTTCTTTTTGTGAATAGCATGAGTTATAAGGCCATCACAAGTTTTCCAGATGGTTTTTGTATTAACAGCATTAGGTACAAGGAACCATATGCTGATGAAGAAAATGAAAAGAACATTGTCTTCTTCAATCAATGAGAATGGCGGGATTACTTTTATTTCATATTGTTCAAAAATACAAGACTTCCTTTCATAGAGACAAAAATTAATAACAGTAATTTCTTATTATGTATCTGCAGCATATGTACTACATCAGAGTTCATCTGAACATCAAAAGATTCGTGTGGCTGTTTGTGTATTAAACTTACTTTCAATATGCTTTGCAAATACTTCTTTGGCTGCTTTATGACTACATTATTTATGTTATAATGAAAGACAGTATTTCCAGATCTGTGAAGATCCTGTACTTAAAATCTATATTTTTACAGCAAGATGATGGTTCTACATCAATGGCCAAATGGCCAGTGGCCAAATACAAAATAAACCTTTCTTATAAAGAATTACATACATTAATAATATTATTTTTCATATCTAATAGCTCCAGCTGACAAGAAATGGGGAAGAGTCCCAAATACTTCAAACAATATGCTCCTGTATTGCATTTGACCAAAGGATGATAAAGAAATAGCACGACAAACAAGTTTCTGTGTTAGTATTAACAAGGTAAATTGTATTAACAAAACCATATTCTATATTAGGACAATTTAAAGTACCGATGTGCATGATTTTTCTTTAAAATAACCTAACATTCTTATAAAAAAAGACCAACACAAAAAAAAATTATCCCAAACCACAAAAAAATGGAGAAAACATACAACAGACATACAACATATTAGGATATGATAGGAGAAATATTTAAAGGAATAATTTTACTTCTTACAAACAGAAGAAAGATTAGGATTAGTTTGTTCTGAGATGAATCAATTGTGATATCCAATAAGTGGATATCACAGCCCTTAAACTCAGACTTCATGCTGCTAAGACACTCCTCATACTAAAAGAAATCTCAAAACTAGCAAAAGGACATTTTTCCAAACAAAATATATTAAAAGCAATCTTTGCCTAAATTTTTTTGTATGCACAGAAATGGGTAGAGCTATGCAGTAAGTCTCTAATGGCATATGGAATAAGATGTGCAGAGGGTAGCTAATAGCTGTCCTGCTAATTAAGGAGTTTACTACAGATGCATCTGATTTAGAACTTTCACTTCATTGGTTGCATAACTGTGCTTTAGTCAACACTGAATTTATTTTTTCTCTCATACAATAGAACCTTTAAAATATTTTTTTCCTCCCCAGATAATCCCTGAAAAGTACCCTAACTTGAGCTTGGCAAAGAAACTACATCACTGAACAGCTTGGCAAAAATCTTTACCAGCAAAATATTATCTGAAAAGTATCCAACATTATAGAAATTAATTAATTTGCCTGTAGATTTTCTGTGTTTGTTTTTCTGGTTTTTATATTTGCAAGGTCATAGTTCCTTGAAAATCTGTAAGTTCAGAACACCAGAGACTGTTTAGGACCTACTGAGAAAAATGGACAGAAAATGTGATAAGGAGAAATATAAGTGTAAGTAACATATGAGCAAAAGAAAAAAAAAGCCTTAAAGTCAATGTCTTCCAGTTACGGTTTATTAGACTGGAAAGAAATTGTACAGCTCAAAGACGGACAAAGGAAAAGGCCTGATACAGTTGGGCAGCTATGAAGACAGAAGAAATTTTGTCATAGTAGAGACCACTTTCTACATTTCACTGGAAAGAGAAGTAATTCCAAGAAAACAGAGTGTGTGCTGAGTGTGAACACTGCCTTTCGTTATCATTTGAATATAGCATGAAAATAAACCAAGAAACAAAGGAATGACAGTACTCAAACAGATCCTTAATCATATCCATTCCATTACTGATTATAAGAAAAGCTTAATTTTATCTATTTCATCATTTTTCCCTTGAAATCAACAACAATTTCTCTTGTTTTTTCTTGTCTGTAACACAGTTATGGGAAAATTCAAACTAGTTTCTCGTAATCTAACTATGGTATACAAAAATTAAAAAGATAACTAGGCAAAGACACTTGAACTCTGAATGCATCAGAACCATTTCAGAGGCACTACAACTCTACGAAAACAACTCCATATTCACAAACTTAAGATGAGACCTCTGCTCTGTGTTACAAGATGGAGTCTAACCACTACCATATTGATGAAAATCTTGATTCCTTAGGACTATAGATTTTGCTTCTATAAAAAGCCAAAAGTAAACAAGCATTCATACTTACTATAAGTATTTTTTTAAGAATCTATCATTTAGAGTCAAAAAGAGAAATTTTTTCACTGTCCATGGAGAAGTTCAAAGCAAGCAATTTAAAGATTATGGACTCTTTTCTTTAATCATTAGATACATCCATTTATTAACAGTTTGTACTGTTGACTGTGTTGGAGTTAATTCATCATGACTCATACAGTGGGTGTTTTAGATTTATGAATCAAAACATTATGGATAATATGCCAGTGTTTTCAGCTATCATCAAAAAGTGCTTGCTCATGAGTAACTACAGACATCTACCCCAGAATGTGCTGAATCATCATATGGTGGACAGAAATATGAAAGATCTTTATGCTTTTTTAGAAAATACTTGATACAAAAATTGTTCCAGCACAACATCAATCCTGATGGAATAGAGATAATGCCATCCTTTAAGCAATTCGTCTTTAAAAATTCAGTAAAAAAAAATTGTCTGCTATTTGAACATTACTTTTTCATTTATTGAATTTTAATTTCAAAATTTCATTTCTTAAGTCAAAATATTTTGAAAAAAACTTCATAAAATGAATAATTATAACATTAATTAATAAATAAAAAATATTTATCCAGCTTCTCAATAAGAAAAGGAAAGACAGTTTCTAATTCACTGGAAAAATATTTGGTTTAGAATTGATTATGATTGATTACTCTGTTTCAAGACTCAGCACATTGGCCCTTGTTGTATCCAGAAAGGGATGCCTGGCCTTCCACCAAACTTCTTCTCTTTTATCTGTCTTTTTTGCATTTTATTCTTGTTTTGACAAGATGAACACAAATACTATGAGCAGTGGTTGGTTCCCAGTTGATGTTGTGTGCATGTGAAAATGTAGATGACATCAGAAGCATTCCAGCTCCTTAATCATTTTGGCAGAAAATGCCAAGCGTGAGGAACAATAACAATACATAAACTTTAAATCCAATATAAGTGGTCAACAGGAATTTCTAATCTCTACTTATTTGGATTCCATTATTACAGCATATAAATTAAGCACAAAATTGACAAAGGCTTGATACTTATGGGGGGGAAATTGTTGATTAAGTCACTCCAGTCGAGACTATCTTTCAAAGGTAAGCAGAAAACACATCAACCAGATAATAATTTATTCCTTATATTATAGGTTTTCTCTTCTCCCCACCCAACATGCAAACATAAACATTATTTTCTATGCCATGAAACCTAAATAACATTTTTTTTTCATTTATGCTGCTGTGTAAGTTTCCCTTTACTAATAATTTACCAATTTGTTTGCAGTATACTAACACTTCCAGAAATGTATCACTGAAATTTAGCCTCTCTTCATGACTGTGCATGCATTCATTATTATTCTTTTGGTTCAAATTTATCAACCCCAACATAAAAATAACTTTTATTCATCCATTGCTCTGACTCAGCTTCTAAACCTTCTCTTCTGTAGGTGCATACATAAATGCTAAATTGATATTTTTTTCTTATACCAAGGTAAGCATAGAAATAGTTTGGACACAAAAATTATGGCACAGTAAATAAAAATTAATAAGAAGGAGTACAGAAAAAATCCATAGACATTATACAATCAGCATCTGAAAGACACTTATGTTTTACTATCATACAATTTAGTATGAAAAAATAAAATATTTCATATGCACAGTGATACAGATGTTTTCATTTGTAAAACTTTCCATATAGCACATACTCTTTAACAAATTTCAAAATATATACACTCAAATAAATTAAAACTTATACAGATGCTTAAGTAACTATCCTACTTTTTAAAGGTCTTGTTTTAACAGTTCTCAACAGAACTGAAAAGTAAATAATTTTGGAAGAATTCAGCTCAAACAATATTCTCTAGCTATTAAAAGCTAAGCTCCTAGTCAAAACTACATAGATAGGTTACCTCTACAGTGAGTGGAGAGTGCTAGGAACCATTAGAAAGTGTTTCCTCTCAGTTAGCTATAACTTTAAACCCAGAACTGTTCTAAGGATATTCTGAGGATATGGTTCTTGTATAGGAAGGATAGGTTGACTGTACTTCTATACAAGGACCTAGTTGTATGAAATAAGTCTGGTCTAAGTGGTCTAACTACATTTACATAATTTTATAACCCAAGTATCACTTGGAAACTTGCATTGGCAAAAAAAAAAAATCAATTATTAGACATTTGAACAGGTAAATGCTGATTTTAATTTTTACCCAGGGTCCTAACCTATTAATCAAAATAAGAAGAGTAAGCATGGTGCCCACAATTTGAATTGCTTTCAGACATAGAGTATGACGTCCACTGACAGTTATAATACTAAATATATTACAAAAAGCTTAAAAAAAAATTTTACTAAGGAGATATGGAGGATATGAGAGTACGTCAAAAAGTAAGAGGTGCATTACCATGCTTTTCCATGCTTTAAATCTGCAAGTCCATGGACAATGACTACACATACAAGCAAATGAAAGCAGCTGACCACGTACCCACACACCTTGGAAGAGGTGCACTCCATACTCGTCGTCCACCACCAAGACAAATAACCTCTGAAGCTCCTTCTAAACGATATCCAGAAGAACAGGAGAATGTCAGAATATCTCCCACTCCAAAATTAAATCCTATTCTGTTACCAAATTGTGGGATCCCAGGATCTTCACAAGGTTCAAGATTATACTCTGAAAACAAGAGAGCAAGTCAGTTTGTACAAATGAGAACATGTGTTCTACCAGTCATATTTGTAATCTTGCAGTCTAGTAATTTCTCAATATTTCCACCTATCAACACAGACTCTAGGTTTTAAAACAAAATTAATGTGTGAATGTTAAATGGACAATTATATTACATCAAAAAGTAAGACAAATTAATACATTCACAATGTTTTTAAGATACATAAAACAACATTATTTATCACTCTTGTAAGAGCCACAAATATCTCAGGTATATAAAACAAACTAAAACAATGGCACAGCACAACCATAAATAACTGACACTTTGGATCATCTGGAACTTCACTAGCTGAAATTAGACTAGTTCTGTTTCCTCCCCTCACTTGATAAAGTGTCTTACAATTAGTTTACTGCTATTTTATTTATCCTGTAGCAGAAATGTTTCCTCTGCCTCTACAGAGACAGAAAGGTTTGCTTGCTTTGAAATTATTGTGCTTAGGAAACAGCTTATATAATTTAATTATTCAATACACGTATTCACCAAAATCACTTCAATTTTTAACCTTTTTTTTCTTTATATAAAATACAGGAAAAAAAAAAACAAAACCAAAACCAAACAACCCAAACCACCAACTTTTTCAGGAGTCAGGTATTATAGGTATGTCCTTACCAGAGAAAGAAATATTAAATCCTTCATACGATATTGAAAAATCTGAAATAAAGCGCAATTGAGCCCTGAAATTTCCATAGAGACCAGCATTGATTGGTGAAGGAAGCTCTGAGCCAGTCAGACGTGCTAATGGTTGTGTGAAACTGCCATTCTCTGTTATTAGTAAGTAGTCATGGTGATCCTCCAGGTGAAAGGTGTAGAAGGTGAACTGCACTCCTATTAGAAAAAGTAGAATTAGATTTACATATCACCCTATTACATCAATGTAATTAAGCTAAGGTGAAAATTCATGCATTTCATTATTGTATTGTTCAGAAAATTAGGATAATCTAAATTTTCTAAAAATTAGTATCTCTCCAGATTTTAGAGTTAAAATATCTTTGCAAGAGGTCTTTTTGTTTTGAAACCACTTTCACTTTTGCCTTTAGTTGCAAAATACAGATGTTTGATTTCTAGAATTCAAAGATGTATGCTTGAAATTTTGTGTAAAATCCATTGATGTACTATATATGCTCAAAACTACAAACTGTTTATGGTGGAATGGGAAAGATTAACCTTATTTCTTGCAGTCATCAGTATCCTTGCACAGCAGCAGTGAAAGGAAAGGTTATAAAATATATTACATTATATTCTAATGGGACTTACAGTAGCAGCAGCACTTTCACCTAAAAAAGGGAAGTCTCTTAATAAGATGTGGCATATGTCAACAGTATGATTTTTTGCCAACTATCAGACATAAATCACACATTTAGAAAGGAAGATATATCATAATAATACAATAGCAATAAAGAGACTTAAAGATCAAGACACACGATTAAATCACTTTTGCATTTTTAACTGAGAATCAGAACATGATCTCCAGGTAGAATACACAGAAGAGTCAAGAAAAAGAAACAGAGGAATCCATTAGCTAGTTTAAGTGATTACTGAGACCTCAAGTGTAATATCATTTTCAGTTTTATCATGACAGTTATAAACCTACGATTCAGGTTCTCTCAAACATATCTGATGATGTTATACTTAGCAAGATCCATTCATGTGATTGCAGATTAACATGGTAGATGAAGATCTTTGGGTACTCTCATGTGCAACAGATTTTTAATATCAGACATAATTTAATTAAAAAGCAAACAATATTTCCCCTACCTAAACCCCTCAACACTGCACCCTCCTCCCACTAACACCAGCTCCCATCTGCCCAAACAGGGTAGCAAAACCCAAGCTACATATACTGTGCTTGACTCAGTTATCTAAGCACAGAAACCTCATGACTTCACATGCAGCTTTAGAAGCTCTCAGTACAATTTTCTTATAGTGTTTTTTTTTACAGTATCCTTGAAGTTGTCTGAATTGCATTAAATATTTACATTAATGCAACTCAATCACACCTAAGAAATACAGCTTGTGAGGGTATCTGGAATGCAAGGACACTTGGTTTACAAACATAGCCAAGGACCTTTCAGTACAGGAAGCAAAGACAAAAAATGAGGGAAGTAATGAATGGTATACACACATGCGTAAGCTTTAATGAGTAGGATTTAGTGGAGATACTAACAAAGACCAGAACTCTTCAGTTTCTGACTGATGAAAAATTAAATGTATCACTGTAATCTTAAAGTTCTTCAATTAGAACTTAGTAAGTAATTACAATGGGGGAAAGAATATTGACTTTGGTCTCATGAAAATTAGAATACTGTGGACTGTTACAGGGAATTTGTGAGATTACGTAAAAGTGAAGATGAGATTTTTTTTAAATGAAAGTCAGAGACTGCGAAACTTTTTGTGGTATATTGAGGGCCAAAGGAAGATAACGGTGTGGATCATGCTAGTTAAGAGAGAAAAAAGTGTGGAAATAGAGATAGGGTTAATCCTCTCTCACTAATCCCTGTACCTAACCACTGTAGCCTGTCCTCTATTACTTTAAAACTCTGTTCCTGACTAGTGTGAAAGTGTATCTTCTGTCCAGAGTGCGAGCACGTGTGTGACCACTAGTGAACATTAGTATGGATTGCATGGTGAGCAGAATGAGATTGGGGCCAGCTGGAAAAAGGGCCATTGGTCACAGAGTGGGCAGCACCTGGTAGGAGTGGGATCTGGGGTCCAGCTCCTGGGTCAGGATATGGAAGGTTGTAGGAACACATTCCTGTGCGTGTGTGAGTCTGTGTCACTTCTGGAAAACTCCTTTTTCCATCGACCCAAACGCAGAAACAGGATTTGGTTGCCTGTAGTTTTCATGTCCGTTTCAGGGCTGTTGGTGTTTCTGTGGGTGCCAATAAGACTCTTGCCGCTATCCGTGTTAGTCTGTGTGACCAGTCATCCATACGTATGTAGATATTGGCATCTTTGGAATATATGCTTAGTCTTGTGATCAGCCGGACATACAGCTGGGAGTAATGAGAGAAATCCCTTGGATCTTGGAGACCTCTACCTATCTATGGAGACCTTTTAAAGGGATTGAAGGCCTATTCATCCTTTTGAAGTAGACATCTCCTTCTCTTCTTATAACTCCACACACATCACATACTCCACCAGATCCCAAAAAACACATCCTTACTTAGTAGAACTGATATAGAAATTACCATATTGGATTGTATTTTCTGCTTAGGAAAAAAAAAGTTATCAAAAAAACTTGTTCTGGATTTTAAAAATTCTTAATTTACTAATTACATGAGCAAAGCCATTCATCTGCTTTGATCACCCTTTTTATTCTCTCAGATTGTGTGACAATAAATTGGCAAAAATCACACACAGAATTTTGGAATTGAAATTAGGTTGCATATCTTTTGAGCTAATGTATATAAATTTAGATTTGGAATTGATAAACTCTTAAATGTCTGGGGGTTTTTAAACATATTTTTGTATAGGATCAGTGCTGATCCTACATGAAAAGAGAGTTCTTAAAAAAACCTGAGATATATACAGAATGAGAGGTCATATTTGTTATGTGTATTGCACTCCAAGTTAATTTTGGCCTCCTTTATGCATGCAAGTATACTGCCACAACAAAATCAGAAATGCCAAAGAAAATTTCATGGTAGTAACCCAAAATAATGAAATTCCTGTGAATCACAGCTGAGCTTCACTGAATATTGTTCAAACACCAAACTCAAGGTTTAACTCAAGGGAATGTTTCAATCAATTTTCCACATTGCAATGACATTTCTAAGCAAAACCCAAAGGTATATCCCAGCAGTAGCAGTACAATTTATTTTTCTTTAGAAAATATTCTAATCACATTAATATATGCTGTGTGACAGATTGTGTCTTCTCATGGGAAGAATTTTAAAAGATTTGCTCAGGTAGATTCCTTCTTATTCTGCCTCACATGCCCCTTTCTTTATAAGGGGAATATTTAAAATCTGAAATGAAGACAGGAAGACATAACACTCTAAAATGTCACTTCTCAATATTACAATCCAGACTGTTGGGGGATAGGTAAATTAACTGTTCTACTAATAAATGGTGTAAAACATACCACTGATACTCTACAGATTTCATTTCACCATATATTGAATTGCCTGCTAATCGCAGACAAAATGTAATAATTTAAGAAAAATCAAAGTGTTAATAAAATGTCTTAAAAGAATCCTGGAAAATGTGGCTTAATCTGAGCTCATGTTTACTGTAGAATTCACAAAATTTTCTGGCATGAATTACTCCATGAAGCTAAATTCTTATCCGTCTGTACTACTTGTCTTCAATTCTCAGATTATAAAGTTTGTGCTGGTTAACCAATGGTTTTTCAGGCAGGCTGCAAGCTAAATGACTACAGATCTAACAGTTTCTTTACACTTTCCATAAGTCTTTCTTGCTTATCCAGAAGAACAAAAGATCCACAGTACCTTATACTCCTGTAACTCTAAAAGCCACGTATCATACCTAGAGGTAACAAGGGCAAATGCAGCATTTTATGTAGGATCAGTAATTTCAGGATGCTTTTTCACTGTGGATATTTAGAATCAAACTGACACAATGGCATCACTTGGTAGTAAGAGAGACTATGGAACAGCTGCAGCAATAATTTTGAGAGATACACTTTGCCACTTTAACACTTTAAGGAGTTTTAAATGGGACAACCAGAGTGATTTAACATCCAGATGAACTATCACACTATTTGTACCAAATGGAATAAGGGGATCACAGATCAGCACAATTCTCTGTATCAGTAGTCTTATTTTTATGCCATCAATAACTCTTGCTTAGAGGAATACATCATCAGTATGCTTTGCCACATTTTTCATGCCCCCACAGAGAAAACTGATGAAATTCAGGATTGAACTTGTCTTTCTTCTTCTCCCTTTCATTCTTTTCCATGTATTCTTTCCAGCATTAAAATGTAATTCTCCTTTTCGTGTTCTTACTAGCTTATTCTGTGCTGAATTCGCTTGTGGTGCCTACCTTTATTTTTGTCCTTCTGTAACATTAAATCTTATACCTCTCTAGCTCTTTTCACGTATAGTACAAGAGTACTATTGTCCTAGTTAGAACAGCTGGGACCGATTCATCATTGGATGGGTGTAGCCCAAAACTGTGTATTCTATAGCCCTCCATGCCATTTCCCAGAAACTGTTGTCAGTAGAGGTCTGCGAGGTGCCCCCCCCCCCCTTCCCCCATGCTCCTGTCCTCATGCCCTTTTGTGGAATTCCCTAAATGAGCACCCTCACACCCTTTTATGGAATTCCCCACTGTTGCCGTGGGATTTAGGTGCTGAAAAAAATCTCCGGAGCAGTTAATTAGGGGTGAGATAAGAAAGGGTTACATTTTATAATACCATCCATCCAATCCCAGATGTGTCCACCCTGTGGCCTTTGCTCTGGACCGCCCCGGGGTCCACCCCCTTAAAATGGGTCTGGGGTGCATTTCGGGACCACCTACTTCATCACCTTCACCATCATCAGAGCACAAAGGGTACATAGTTACCTAATTCTTGACCGTATTCTGTGGTTTAGGCACAGATATGCTGTTCTGTCAACTGTCTAGGCCTTGCCTTAACAAAAGACTAAACATTTCTGTTAGATTTGGGGATATGAGTGATATAGGGAGGATAGAATGGGGTAAGAGGGTTAGGGAATGTATAAACAAGGGTGCTACAGGGAAAGGGATAGGGACAAGGGACAAAGAAGGGAGGGTTTCTGCTTTTAAAACCTACTTATAAAACTTACAAGTCTTAGAAATATTAGAAAAATAAAAAAAACATTAGGGGCTTAAGGCATCACCACTCTGAGGGAAGGATTGAGCATCCTTTTATGGAATTCCCCGCTCTGAGGGAGGGACTAAGCATTGCTGCCTGAGCTGGAGAATATATAAACCTGGAGTTTCAGAACCTTTCCACCTCTCGTGGGATCCAGAGGAGGACTGCAGCTCACCGCTCTCAGCCAGACTGCAGCTCGTCGCTCTCAGCCGGACTGAGACCACCACCCTCAACTGAACTGCAATCACCACTTGGGCCAGACTGCAGCAGCTCTCCCACCAGCAGGTTTTTTCCCCTCTCCCTTTGCTTTGGACTCAGGGGGGGCCCAGGGAGCACTGTTTTGTTTGTGGCCTGGGGTGCTGGGTTGTACATTTGGGCTTTGTGGGTTAGGGCTGGTTGCTTGCCCATGTGGTCGTACTTATTGTATTATTTTATTAAATTGCTATTCTGATTTGTAATCTCTCTTTTGAGTTGGGTTGGTTTCCCCTGTTGGTTAACTTTTAAACCAGCACAACTATGCAGTCACTCCCATATTTAAAATAAAATACCAACAAAAATCTAAAAGTATGACCCAACTCTTCTCATCTTGTACCAAACCCTTTCACCTGAAAGCAACTAGGACATATTGTTTCTGGGAAACTTTGCTACCTGGAAATAGCAGCTTCCATTTGTGTCCTAAGTGTCCTAAGCTCTCAGAGAAGAGTTAAAACCAGTATTACATCTTTTTCCTGAAATCTACCTTCAACAAATAACCACCTCTTTCTTAAAAGCCTCCCGGTCTTCAGCTTCTGTGATCAGTCATTGTATATTATCTTTCTTATTGACTTCCCATTTTGTGGGAAGAATAAGGGCTTACTCCACTTATGGAATTCTAGGAGCTACTGCAACAAAAATAAATGAAACTACAAATCAGCAATGCAATTCTAAGTGCTTTGCTGCTAACCTAAGTCTACATCTATAATACATAATACTGGACTTATATATTAAAAAAACCCCACAAGTTGGAAGTAGAGAAAAGGATTTATTTACCTTTGCCATGGGTAACATCCACAGTCCATGTGCAATTCAGTGAATTTGGATATAGATCAGGATAACCTGGTGATAAAATTGTTCCACTAGGTCCTCTAACATCTCCACCACATAAAGCTAGAAAAAAAAAAGAAAATAATAATAATAACAACAATAATAACAATAGCAATAATAATAATAAATGACAAATAGAAAAGTTACTTATGAGGGAAAATGGAAAAAACCCAAATTTTTTGAAAATTCTGATTTTAAAATGACTTAAAAGTAGTGGCTCAAATGATTTAGCAATTTCAGATAGAACTACAGGTCATTTTTACACAATATAAAAAGAAATGTAACCAATTAATAAATAATATGTGTTTAATAGACACAAGAAAATGGAAATGAAGTTTCCTTGGTTGTTTTTTCATGTTTTCTGGAGACTGTGAAAGACTTAAGGTCAGCAGAGATGAAAGCAGAAAAGACAGAGCCAAACAATATCACTTGAGCCAGAAGTCAAGGTTGGAGATTTAAAATGGCATATAATGGATCTCGTCACTGAAGAATTACTTAATTAAAATATTTTTGCAGGGAAGCGTGACATGCTTTCCTGTATATAATTATTGGATATGCATTTATATCTATAATGCAAATGATAATGACAAGTGCCAATGTAAGAACAAGTTTTTACATAGTTTCAGTAGAAACTTCATAAAAATAATTGGTAATTGAACAACACAAAAATTAAATTACAGCTTGAATTAATGTAAAATACAAACAATTAGTCATTACAACACTGGCAAAAATAACTTCACAATTCACCATTACAGTTTAACGGTTGATTTTCCATTGCAGAGCTTTTGAAATACAAAATTAATGAGTAATTTTTAGTAATGAAGAGTCTCATACCTTAGAATTATCATATATCAATAACAGTGATTAATATTCAGTACCAAGCAAGTTATTACATCATAGTTCTCTGAATATAGATTATCTCAGAAAGGCATATATTATAAGACAAATGAGGAGTTCTATTTTTTTTTTGTTAAGATTAAAAATATCTATTCCTTTTATTTTTCTTGGCCTAATTATATGTATTACCAAAATTATTCTGTAGAAATGTTTTAGGATAAAGAAAAACAGTGAACTATGTTACTGTCACCAGTAGGTCAAATAATATAGACTGTTTTAGTAAAACTCATTGCAGTTCTTCATATGAGCAGTCCTTCCAAAGTATTTAACACAATCTCTTCCTTTCCAGCCATAAGTAGTCAAACGATGCCCTTTCAGAATTTTTATTGGTGTCAGCCATTGTTTCTTTGAGCCCTCACCTTAATCTAAGCCAGTATTCACCACTCCTGTATTTAAGAGTAAGATTTTCTCTTTAGCAGATGTTAAAGCTCTTGAAAGGCAGTTTTAGAAAGATGCAAGTGGCAGCTACTTTTCTGTAATTCCAGTTGATACAACCATCAATCCCTTTTCTCCTAACTGTATAAACTGTCATTCACCTATTTATTGCTCGTGTCTGTGCTTCTCACCCTGCTGCCACAGCAACGAGAATGAGAGAAGGACCCTGGTACAGGCTGGAGGAGCTTTCTGAGAGATGCTGCCCCACCTGCACTAGCTGGTTTAACCTGCTCCTACTCCTTCTGTAACATCAAATCAACTGCTAGTGCAGCACTCAACAGTATGAATTGTAAAGGTGAGAGAAGTTTGGCCTTTCAGTATGTGCTCAAACATCTACATATTTCTTCAGGAGAAAGGTGTTGTGTAATTTGCTACATCATGCTGTTTTTTCTGCTATATCTTGATATTTATTCTACTTATGGCAATTTCTGCTACACATTGGTGGGTAAATGATGGAAGTTATACCCATTTTTGCCTTTGCTATTAATGTTGCATATTTGAGAATGAATATGTTGACATGTCATCATTTTCTGCTTGTAGCTGTACATTCAAAACTGATTTGAGGGCAAGCCAGACAGTGAATCAAGAGAATGTCTAGAATGTAACTTCTGTCTACCCTGTACCTGAGTAGACATTTGTCTAAATGAGATACATGCATTTTCCAGAAATTTTAGTAGCACCGTGGAATGTTTTCACAAAGATCAATAATTTTTCATAATGAGGTTATGGCACTGCATGCCATCACTCTCCCTAGGGCACTGATTGAAAAGAAGTATACATATAATTACAGTTTTCTTATAAATCAGAAATGGAAATTCATCCTGCATTCTAGGATGAAGACTGCTTTATTTTGCCTTAAGTTTGTTGGTGTTCTAACTCGCTATATTTCTGTTTTAAACATGCTTACTTGTCTGGATAGCCTCATGATTGTTTTCTACGTACTATTTCTCCTGCCAGCATTCTAGAATTTTTGGCCTAGTTGTAAGCTGAAAATTTACAAATCCACTACCATAGGCTGAAATAGGACATTCTAGGACCACAATTGCCCACTCTCTTTATTGTTGCCACAGGAAAATAACTTACAACCATATTAATTTTCCTCCTCACTTCTGATGAAGAGACACTGAAGGTAAACACTTCCCACTTATCACCTGATCTTGCTATATTTAGACATTAGCAAAACAGAATCATGTCTGTGACAGCATGTTACTGGAGCTTCTGATGGTAACTATCTATTTTGTCTATTAAATAAGAAAATCAGTTTTTATAAACATGGGAAATAGACCAAACAAAAAATATATTTTACAGTGGGTGTTTGGAAAACCTTTCAGGAATGCAAATGGTGATAAAACATCCATGGCATGTCATCAGACACTCAGTGTAACTCTGTGAAGGCTAGCAGATGGCAAAAAAAGGCATCAAGGACCCGGTGTTTTAGAAAAAAAGCCAAGTTGACAAATCTGAAATAGAAAATGTGCACTGGCCCTGATAAGATGGCAAACAGCCCAAGCATATAATATCAGTACTAGTATCGGCCTGTTTCAGAGTGCAAAGGAAAACAGAAAGACATGAAAATAAACACAGAATATATATATGATAAACATATATATTTCCAGATTCTACAAGAAACCTTTCTTTCACTTTATCTGATGATACAGCAAAAGTAGAATGAATTCTTGAGCAAATAACTGAAGCACTATTTTGGAATTCTTATGTGGAAAATGGAATATTGTGTTGTTAACACACTAACTAATAATTTCTTTTTTATGCAAGCAGAGAAGCTGAACTAAGATATGTCTAATTTTTTGCCTCCACTACAATGTTTTTTAAATAAGGAGAAAAAACTCCTAAAATAATAATAATGATTAAAACAAACAAGCAAACAAACCCAAAAAAACCCCCAAAAATAAAGAGAATAAAATATAAAAGAGTCTATGAAATACAGATAAGTACATAGAAATACATTAAAAAGTACTTCTACAGCACTCTGGTGATCAGAAATGATGTGGTAATTTAATAAGCAAGTCTTGGATAACTATGAATGAAGATTCTAATTTAATAGTGGAGTTCAGTGACTACATCAGTTGTTCAGCTGAAATAAATTCTTACAATGTTGCCGTGATTACTTGTACTTTCTGTTGTTGTAAATTATTTTGCTCAGTAGCATGATCAATCACAAAAAAGAGTAACAGCAAGCAAGCCTAGCTTAGAAAATGGCCCTATATACATAGAAAATAATTTTTGGCCCAAACAGGTTCAGAAACTTTAGTCTGATTACTCATAAATGTCTCATTGGGAGACACGTAGGCCATGCTTCATCCCTCAAATACATGAAAAATTGTAGTGAAAACACTTGTGTCATTCATAAAATTGCAAAATTCCATTTCAGGCCATATTTTATGCTACTATAAAACTGCTAAAGGAAATCAATCTTGCAATTTCCATCTCTATGACCACTATTAACAATTGCAAGTTCTTAGCAGCCTGTCTTGTCTCGGCAGCTATATTACAGAAACATATTGCTGGGACAACTCACATTAGATTATGACATTTTTGTTCATAGATGTTTGTTTGTTTTTTTTTCCATTTTGCTTTCACATATCCTCTCTTCCTGGGGTCATCCTGTATAGTTAGTTTAAAACTTATCCACAGAAAATCCTCTTAAACTTTGCTTTTCACACCATGAAATAAAACTCAACAATTATGTTCTCTGACACCTGAGATCTATGAATACAATTTACAATCTATTTAAAACTATTTTTTTTTACAAAATACCAGTCAGTCTCAGAATTTGTAGAATATAGCAATAATACGAAATTTCAAGAAACCTGGATGTGAGAAGAAGGGGGTCATCATATCCAAAAAGGACAGAAAACTATCAAGAGAATGTATGAGTTATTTTAGTAAAACAGGTGAAAATAATAAAGATATATATAAAAATAGGTACAAACATATAGAAATGCATTTATCCATGTATTTCTACAAATGGTGTTAATAAGTAATGTAAAAAAGCCCCAAACATAATATTTTTTCTTTTTAGTCTGATTGAAGATATATTGGAAATTAACATTTTCCACATTTTCAATTTATATCAACTATCATTTTCTTATATAAAGATTTTTCAAGAGACTAGCCATGGATTACCAAACACAACTTAGACACTGACATACAAAGATGTAACTCAATTTTCTCAGAAAAGAGAAAATACTCATAAGAAGTATGAAAACCCCACCTTTTTTCAGTAAGTTCAGCTTGTTGTAAGTACAAATAACTGAAAACTATTTGTTTTTCAGAGGTGATGGGAAGAGAAAACACACAATTTTAATTGATTTGTAATAATGATTAGTTTTGGTTTTCAAGTATCATTGAAAAAAACTAATAACATATTCTAGTTCGGACAGAACCACAAAGAAACAAAAAGCAAACCCTATTTATACGTAAATGTGATGTGTATATATAACTCCAGATACGAATATATATGTGCACAAACACACAGAAGCCTCATTACATTCATTTGCTTAATTAACTCTAACTTCCAACTAAAAATATAATTCTAGGGTGGTTCTCATTTATTGTGCAATTAGATAATAAAAGTGACATGTAAAACATAGTTTAAAATTATTGAAACAGTGAATTAGATTTTGAATCTTGCATACTGTACTTCCTAGACCAAGAAACTTTGGCATTTGTCTTCCCTAATTACAGAAAATGCAATCTTACAACAGGATGTAGATCAGTAGTGGTAAATTACCAATATGGACATCAAATTATCATAATCAGCTTCTAGAAAGAAATCTTGGACTTGAGTTATAATACACAACAGATTATCTTAATAGAAACTAGTGTAGCCTAGATTACTCACAATATAAACTTGTATTTTTACCCTCTTACTTAAATCTAAAATAGACCAATATATGTTATCCGTTTCCAATTTTGGCCTCTACCACATTGAATATTTGCAGCAGGCTTTTTAACAGCTGTATTTTAATAGAAGTATTATTTTTATCTTAGACATATCAACAGAAATTACATAACATCTCTTCTCTGCCATATTTCCTGAATAAGTTCCTCATGGTATTGCATAAGTCATATTTCTTAATTTGTTTGGGCATCTAGGGGTTTCCAAAGTAAACATTAAATGTTTTCTATCTTGCTTGAATATTTTTCATTCTATTTATTAATTTTCTTAGGTAAATGAAGATCAGGTGGAATGACAATATTTATTTTTAATTCAAATATTGAATAAGTATTATTATCTATTAGAATTCAATTTCATGTTATGATGAAGGGAATAAAGAGCGCTTTACACTCTTAATTAGGTATCTAACTTTTACATTATTTTACCTGTAATTTTTAATGAGATTAATACAATAATTCATATATTGAGAAAACTAGATTTTTTCATATCTATTCAAAGCTTAAAAGCAAAATTCTCTTATAATATTCATACAGAGAGGACATGATAAGACAAAATTTTTAGTGAAGAATCGGAAGGTGACTACAATCAAGAAATTCAGGGCTTTCCAGATATATAGGTACAAAGTGTATCATATGTAGTAGTTAGATAGGAATGGTATAAATGTAATACAAGCAATATTTTCTCAGCAAAGCTCAAAACAATATATTTTATTTCCTTTTTTTTTATGATGTTTTTCTGTGCAACATCAAAACGCATCATGACTAGAATTTAATGAATAGAATTTCAGTCAATACCATCTTCTACTCTGAGGAAGAACTTGTTCTAAGTTTAATATTTTTTCTTTTCTACATACTTCTCCTCCGAAACACACACACGAGTTGTCATGATCTGTCTGCATAATTATCAGGGTCTGTCTCCATATCACTACGTGATGCAGTTATAAAAAAGAGATGCAATTATCAAAAAGAACAATCAAAAAAGAATTCTGCTCCTCAGAAACCATCAGAGTAACATATTGAATGAGCAGTAGGAGCGACTGATGTGTTTATTGATGGTATGATTAATACAAACCCATGCTTGCAGTTTATGCAAAGAACAGAACATTTAGCAAATGTCCTTTTTTTCCTGAGGGTGTAAGGACTCTGAATCCTATTAAAAAACATTCTACCAGAGAAGAAAATGAAGTTAAAAGTATTTCAACCATTAATTGATTAAATTTGGTAGAATAAATGTACTTAATCTCACCTTCAGAGCATATTTATTGAATGGACAACTGCCATTTAGCAATGTGCTCTGGAGAAAAAACCCACCTCATTTACTTAATGAATTGCATGCTAGTTCAGCATCTTTAAGAAAAAATTTATGACAATATGTACATTTATTAACAACAGAGCACAGTATTCATAGTGAGTGTGTTAATACTGTTTTTTTTCACCTTGTTACCATCTAGTGCCTATCACCATGAGAAAACACATCCTAATTTTATGGCCTATTCAGCAAAGTATAGTCCCCTTGACTGCAAACTGCAGAACCCTGTAATTCTTCATTTCAAAGCCTGAGTGAGACGCAGAATCTCTTAGGAAATGGGTTTGCATAACTACAGAGTGTCATTTTCAGGAAAGTGATTATTCACATCCCTTTTTACCACCACAAGTCTTAAGTATCATTATATACTGACACTTTCAACTTACTGAAATATAAAAAACTAAAGAATATCCTATTCAAGCAAACTGAAGACCAAGAAAATCCTTACCATTTTTTAAAGAAAGAAATACATTGAAAATTAATAGATTTCCATATAGCAAATCACATATGGATCAGTGAACTTCTTCATCAGTCTTCATTCAGACTCATCTTTTTCTTTCTAAATGAGTGTCCTGAGACACTAAGAACTGTTTTAGAAAAATATACTATCATGTGCATTCTGTAGTTCATAAAAGTTCAGGAGACTTTTTTTGTTAAATACTACCCTAGAATTAAACGGTAATATTATTCCTGACAGAATTTTCATCATCAGAAAAACACGTGCCATGCTCCAAGCAAGGAAATTATTTCAAGAAGTAAACATCTCAAACAACACAACGTAATGAACATTACAATCTACTTTCTTAATATTACATATAATTGATATCACCCTACGTGGGAAAACATTAAAATGAACAACTCAGTTTACAAGAGATGACTGAAAATATTATATAATTTTTCAAGCAGAATTTTTAATGATATGTTGGAGACCTGTTACTCAATCCCACTTTTGCCTGGTTTAATAATCATATGCTTAATGATCAGGTATAATGTGGTCCTAATAAATTCCTATAGTGATTAAAAGGTGTCAAGTTTTGTTACCGAGCTAGGAACACAGTGATCAGCATCAAACAGGAGGAAATGTTGGTCTTGAGTCAGGTATAAATAAACTTCATTCCATGTTTTGTATGTCAGCACACCTGTGTCCATAGATAGGTACCCAAACACAAATATTTGTAGTTTGTAATGAGTGATTTACAAGCAGATATACATTAACTTTGCAATCAGCTCACAGCAATATATTTTTAGATAGACATATCTTCAGTAATCTGCAGAGCTAAATAACTATGTATCATTCTCTGCTTTATTGGTTATATGTCTCATCACAGAGTTATATAACATTTATTTCCTCTAAGTATCCTTTTTACCTAAAAACAGAGGTTTTCCAAGCTCCAAGATTTAACTCATTGTAGTTATTAATAGTTTAGTAAAATCCGTATATTTTAAGGTACTCTATATTTAATCCATTCATCCTTACCATCACAAGTTGGGAGGGGGTGACTCCACCAGTGATTTTTTTCACATAGCAAAGGCTCCTCATGACTCAGCCTGTAACCTGGATCACAACTAAATGAGACAGTGGAACCTATAGAGAAGTCATGTCCATAACGACGTCCATGCACTGGTATGCCAGGATCCAAGCAAGAGTAAGTGTTAACAGTTACACCTAGATAAAAAAAAAAAAAAAAAAAAAAAAAGAAAAAAAATAAAACAAAAAGAAAAAGTTAAATAAACAACCTATAGATTTTTTTTAAAATTCATTTAAGTAATTGATTGTGCTGTGAGTGGGGGTGAGAGTATCATTATCATGCATTTAAGGTGAATTATCTTTGCACTGTTTCTCTCTGTTACCATTATAAGATGCTATGGATAACAACTTGCATTAGTAACATTAAGTGATTTTGTACCTCATGCTGATGTTGAAAAGCTTTGATGATCACTCAAAATCCTGATTTCCAGCCTTTATTTTTTCTGGATCAAAATTTTTTATCATAGCTAAAGTGATTTTTATTTCTTTTGATATTGATCCTTGAAATATTTACATAGATAAACTATTTACATAAATAACTCTCATACCTAGTGCTATTTGATATATGAGACATTAAGAAGACAAAGAATGGCAGAAAATAGAGTAAAGAGAAGTTGACTTGATAAAGGAAATTTCAATGTGTGCTGAAATATTAAACCTTTTAGATTATTTCCCAGTGAGAAGTTCACATATAAAGTTCATACAAAGAAGTTCATTATAAAATAATCATGAGAAAAAAAAAAAAACCTCTAGGAATAATACTGAAGCAAAAAATTATAAGAATTATTCAGTGTTAAATTTTTTATGGGTTTTATTCTTTTCATTCCTACAGAGTAGTCATAAAATATCCTTCCTTACAAAGAAATTGTGTGAAAAGAAATAATTAGCATAAAAGATAAGAACATATAAAAGACCTCAGCTTTCACTATGATATATGAAGGGTGAAATGATGAGGAGGGAACCATTAGTCATTATTATTCCCAAAAGGGAAATCAGAATTGTGTTGTACTGGATAATGGAAGATGAGAAATCAGTAAGAATTAAGAAAAAATTAAATTAGTATTAGATGTCTGTGTATAAACAGGGGCTATTAAAGAGAAAAGCAAGCACTGAAAATTGTTTATTTTGTGTACAAATGGTAAGAATGCATATTTTCAATGTTCTCTGACATCTTAACTTTAAATTTTATTCTCCACTAGTGTATAATGCTAAAAAACCTGAAAACAGTTTGGTGGTAGCTCCAACAAGTTGGTGTATGAAACAGAAATGGACAGATAACAATGTGCTTATGACCTTTACTAAGCAAATCAGATAGTGATTACAATAGATATATTATTTCTCTTAAAAAATTAACTATTTCAACAAAAGTTATATTTAGAAATGCAAAAAGTAAATTGAATTAGGATATATAAACTTAAATGAATTTTAAGAATTCATAAAGTATGAAATCTTACATATACTTTGTTCAGTGTCATTTGTATTACTCTAAAAAAGGCAAAAGAAAAAATCACATAGGAAGGTTTTTACAACCCTTAAAATCCATAAGCAAGCAATCCCATAGCTTGATTTTCAGCTCATTAGTGTAAAGTGCATTTTGCCTTACCTTCAGTTAGAGCTGCAGATACATCAATCAAAACAGTAATTCAGTTATTTGCTTAGACTTCCATAATCTTCCTAATCTCATGCAGTTTTACACACACAAAAATGTATTGTATAAAATATAAGAATATCAAGCCTTAAAACAGCATCCAGAAGAAAGGCATTTGCTTCCCATTCTCATCTTTTGATTCTTAAAGCACAGAGTAGTACATCAATGAGATTAAATTTTAAGTAAAATTATTGGTCATCACTCTTGCAGTTTAACATCACTAAATCTTTCTCAGACTGAGAAATAACAGGAATTTACCAAAGATGACATCTGTAAATCTTTATATATTTATGACAAGAATAAGCATTGAGAGGGAGGTGAAATCAAATAATACAGTACAGAATTACTTACTTTCATAGTGAATCTTGAATCCATTGTTAGAACGACTGTTATCAGTTGTAAAGAGAAGATAAATAAAATTGCTACTGCTAAACAGAAATTGGGGGACCTGTGTACCATTGTAAGATCCCAGAAGTGGAGATAATAAGTTTGGTCCATCATGAACTTCCAAAACATCATAATTGAGTTCAGTCTGAAATCTGGAATTGAGGAAACACCCAGAGGCACAAATTTAAAGAGACAGTTACAACAAATTCAATAACACCATATTTTAAAACTATACTCCTTCCTTGATAATATTTGTCTTCACATATCTATTCTACAATATCAATACAATAATATTAATTATCCTATATAATTAATACAACAATAAAATTTCAGGTTAGTGGTTTAGCAACATGAGAAATAAGTTTAAACTTCTTGAGCTGGTTTGTATTGCAGGAAAAAAAATCCAGAAACAGAGTTTGTTAATAAAGATTAATATGATTTACATATGATATTTTAAAACCCAAAATTATGGGGTCTTTTTGAATAATTAAGTAAATTATATGGAGAATATGTTGATATATTCTTTTAGTTTATCTATTCTATGTGGTAAAAATATCATCAAGGTACTTTATATTATCAAAGAATCATACTCTTGAATTTCTACTCTTAAAATCCTCTATAAGTAGCGATAGAATTATTTGAGTCTGCACTGAGACTCCAGTGGTTTTATGCCAGCTGAGATTCGGTCCAAAGTGGTGACAGAAGTTATGGGGAAATAAAAAAACAAACCCACAACTAAAAATCCTATTTAGAAAGTAACAGAAAACAAGACGAGTGTTTAAAGACAGCACGTGTGCTGTCCTTGTCAAGGAAAAGCTGAGTGAGACAGTGCTGCTAGATATCTCCTTGCTTGTCTTGTTTTAGATGCTATCAGCAATCCCAAACTTGTGTCTGGTATTTTGACAGTGGTTTCTCTCTTTCTTGCTATGAGAGACCTTAGATCAATCATACTGCTCTATAAGGAACTTTGGTGGGTTATTGAAAAAACCCTTCTAGAATCAAAAAGCAACGATTAACAGCAGGATCTTATAAGCACCCTTCAGATATTCTTAATTCTCTCTCTGATTTACTTAGATGCCTAATTCGGCTTTGTGAAATGCATTCAAAGAACTGCATGACTAATGCCAATGCACTGAGGAAGTCAGTATTTCAATATTTATGTCCCAAGAGTCTGAGCTTTAAGGTGTAAAGGAGTCTGGCAAAAGATGAGAAGACAAATTAAACCTCCAAAACATGTATTTTCTTCTATCAGTGTTCCATTCACATGAAATAACATTTAAAAGAGCACAGAAATAAAGTAATAGGGAGTTACAGAAATGAAGTGGGATAATCCTAGAAGGAGGAGAACTGAATATTTTGTGTTTTGCTAGTTCCCATGTGAACTCAAAGTGATATATTGCTAAAAACCAATAACTTGCTTTTTCTAATATTTTTTCCCAGTAATCCATACAAAATAGAAGAAATCTTGGAAACAGATCATTTAGTCTTGTTCTGCTTTCTTAGTCCCTTTATCAAAAACATACTTGAGACCGAAGGTGTAAAAAGGCATGGACCTTACAAATGTAATGCAGCCATCAGGTTAGTCAAGTCATACTGAAATTAAGTTGAACGTCCAAAGACATAAAAGAAATCCTCTCGTAAATACTTTGTGTTCAAAGACTACATACACCACAAACAGCAGAAAAATACAGTGATGAAAAAAATGAATAAACACCTGAGAAAAAAAAGTAAGAACCATTTTTAAGTGAGATGAACTGAAAGAAATTTGAAGGGGGTATTATGTACAATGCCTTTGCTTGGTCATTTGGCTCAAAATCTGATAATTTAAATTTAATTTGTAAGTGTGATGCTTCTATAATTTTTTCCTCTCAATGCTCAACTTATCTCATATATTTACATGGTACCTATTTTTTTCTCCGGTGTGAGAAAACAGTAGGGGTTTATAGAAATGGAATAAGTTTCATGTAAGACCGCTCCAATGTCCTTTCATCATTGTTATGTGAGGTCTATTCTTATGGAGGACTCAGAAGCAGACAGGAGTGAAACAAGTTCTAAGACGGGAGGTGACACGCAATTTTTAGAAGAGGTCTTATTTGAATAAATAAAGCTGCCTTAATATTTATAACATGCATCTTTGTTTCTAAGAGCCCCCCTACCAATTCAATGGGATGTCAGGACATCCTGCTGCGCAGTGTATACTCATTAGACAAACGTGACTAGTACTCCACTCAGTAGTTTGCTATCAGCATCCCTTGCATTTAAATACTCATAATTAAGCTACATGATAAACACTTCATTACAATGAAGAATGGCACTGCCATTTATCACTTCTGTCATTTCAATTGAACCTAAAAAGATACTGATCTATAACAAAATACCAGAAGATTATCTATCTTATTTATGCCTGTAGAATGGGAATAAATTTTTAAAGTATACATGCACAATCATAAAACAAAATATGAAAAAAAATATTTTTGCATAGTTAAAGCACAAAAATTAATAGCTATTTTTATTCCCTATGTCTGTAGATCTCTTTGTTTTCCTGTATGTCTCTGGCTCCTTGGAACAGGAACACTGTGGCATATAGTCATGGAATGCAGTACCTGGCACCTACCCACTGTCATAAGAGAGAAGGTACTGGAAAACAGGAAGATGTGAGATTAAAAGGAAATAAACTACTCTACAAGTGGGAAACTGATGCAACCTTAAGCTGTCACTCTGTAGAAAATGTGTATTAGTACAAACTGTTCCCCTCCTCTTAGAAAATCCAAAAAAGTATGTAAAGATTCTAGACATGTACTATAAATATTTTTCCCTGACTGAGAAACTAAAAATCTTCCAAATAACTACTCATACTGTGGAAGTTTTGATACTTGCAATGATAAAAACAAGAAAAAGTATGTGTGTTTTTAAGGACAAAGCTGAAATGTAAAGATCTGGGCAAAATATGAGGGTTTGTGGTTTTTTAATCGTATAGGTAACCCAGTTGGTTATAGTATTAAAAGTGTATATTTCAACAAAATTATCCTTTTGTCTTAAGAAAATGTAGTGGAAGATAAGCAAGCAGAAGGAGTAGAACAAGGATAGCCAAGACTAGAATGAGTTTTTAAAAAGCTAATTTAAAAATTACTCAGAATGTAAATTTAAACGGTGTGAAAAATGTCTAAGTAAAAAGCATAACCATAGCTTACAAAATCTTTTATTTCAGTACACTATAAAGATCTGTTTCATTATTTGATTTATGAAATAATTTCTTCTTTACATCCAAACATGTAACTATATATCTAAATGCATCTGTGTAAACATACAAAGATGTATCTTTACATGCACTTCTGCACAGAGACACATAAGAGTACACACATCTATATGTGACTGGAGCCTCTCTGCGTTACTGCATCTGAGCAATAAGCATATCAGCCCAATTTATGGCAAGTGTCAAGAGTGTCAAAAATGGGCAGCAATGAAAGTATCTTAAAGAGGATAGAAGCTCGCTCTCTGATCTGGAGACCACATCTTATTGCTCTTACAAGATGAATAGAGTTTGCGTAATTTTATGACAAAGTATTAATGCATTACAAACAAAAAGGGTACACAAGAAAATGTCATATATAGTAAAACACATGAGTAAAAAAAGAAAATGCAGCTGGCTTAGCATTTTGCAAATATAAAGGCAAATGCTTTTCACTTTGAAATGACTGTCCACACCAAATCTGTTGTTTAAATGAATTGCTGAATTAAAAATAAACTATTTGAAATTATAACTTTTTTCAAAAATTTAGGTTAATGAAAGCTCATTTTTTTAGTTTTCATTTTGATTTACAAGACAAGAAAGAATAATTTTCTCTTAATTTTGAATTAATATGAGTTTTGATTAGTTTTTGCAAGAGGGAGTTATTCACCTTTTTATGTATTCTAATTGGTAAAAAGTTTGGTAAGTCTTTATTTTAAGTCATAAAGAGCAATAGTGATTTTGGAAGACTAGCTTTCATTTTATATTAAGGATAGAAAATAACTTTGAAATGTCTTTATTACTTGTCCTTTGATTGTATATAATGTTCCACGATCACTTTATTATAGTGTAAGCAATAGTACTAGAAAAAAGTTTTAAACAATCTTATCACAATGAGAAATTTTGCTAAGAGAATATGGAGTTCACATCCTGCTAAAAACAACTTTTGAATTGTATTAAAAGAAAGAAATGTCTTCTCTTTTAATCCTGTGCCCAGGAGTAGTCAAAATATACTGCATATAGATCAACTGAAAAGTACTTGCATGATATTTGTGCCCTAAAACTTTGATCATCAAAGGCACTTTTTTCCTGGATTTTCATATAATTTTATTAATATTTACAGTTAAAAATAACTTAAAACATCCTTGAAAATATGTAGAAAAGCATTCTTTAATTGCATTTTTTTGTTTTGCTTTCTAATAAAGAGCTTAAACTAAATGTCATGAGAAATGTAAGGTGCTCAGCACATTTCAATCCTTAGAATTGGGAATGGACCTTAGTAAGACACGGTAATGAAGGAAAAGTGGAATACTGAAGTAATTTGGGGAAAGTGGAACTCCATCCTGAAAGTACACAGTCCTTTTACAAAAAGAGATCAGCTGATTTGATAGTTAAATATTCAGAATAGATAAAAATATGAATGCATTCAATTCAGTTTTCACAATTGATTCAGATTTTTAGAGTTGAAGATTTCATGGTTTTGAGAGAAACAAAGAACTTTGTAATTATCATAGTAATATGGTTACAAGCAAATAAAAAAGTTAATCTTCAAAAATAGACAAAGTTTTTAACTGGGCCAGACAGGTTTAAATATGTGCAAGAGGGTTGAAATTTCAAAAGCTTTTCAGCACATCAGGTAGAAATTTCACTGAAGATAATAGTTATGCTCTGAAGGTGTTTTGGAAAGTCCTACCTGATAATACAATTGCTTGATTTGAGCGATAGTGAAAATAATGTTATGACAAAGCTAATAACTCCTGTTTCTGGGTAAAAACTGGAAAACATTAAATAAGAAAAATTAGCAAAGACCTTTCAAATGTAATTTTGATAGAGTGTCCTGGTTCAGCTTCTATCACCCACTCACAATTCAAGGAATCTTTATAATACCCTGGCCAGCCTGGAGAGAGAATTACTCCACTGGGAGACGAAAAATGCCCACCACATGGAGCTAAAAATGAAACAAAGAGAAAGGTAAACAACACAGATTCATTACATGTAATTCACAATTATAATTTTCAATCACAATTGTCACTTTCCATTAGTTTACCATGAAAAATACCCACTACATGGAGTTAAAAATGAAGCAAAGAGAAAGGTAAATAACATAGACTTCTTATATGTAATTCACAATTGCAATTTTCAATATAGGACAACTATAATAAACAAATTTTAAAAATTCAGTTGCAAGAAGACTCAAAAAAAGGTTTCAAAGCTGATATATTCTATGGTGTTCAGAATTAGATGGAGATTAACTCAAACAAGACCCTAAAAACTAAAAATAAACTGTTCAATAATTCTGACAACAGGGGTTTTTTTACTGTATCCTTACAGTACAATCTATTTTCCTGCAATAAAGGACATAAACCAAAGCATAATTTCTACAATATATCATTATTTTTGCTTTTAATTTTGAGCAGAGAGATTTGAAAAACTTGAAAAAGTTTTAGTTGAGTATAAAGCTGGAAAGCAGTGAAGTGTTATTTAACTTTGACATAAATCTACTGTCATAGCATATGCATTTTGCTTGTCACGTTGGCAGTTCTTATTCCTCATTCATGAAAAAGACCTACTTACCATTCTTCCAAGATTAGTTGATGTTTTTTAAGCACTTGGAAAATATAGATCAATATATACAAATATATAAATATTCTGCAAGTAGAATTACCAGAAATAACATGTAATTTTTCTCTTGGAACAAGTGAGTAATTTTAAGTATTTCAGTGGTTTAATGGCACATTAATTACAGTAAGAATCTTCACAACTGTAAGAATTACAAGGATGAAGAGTATTTCTGAAAACAATTCTTAAATCAATACCAACCTCCCATGCCCTGGGCAGGGACACCTTCCACTAGACCAGAATCACAGAATATTCTGAGTTGGAAGGGACCCACAAGGATCATTGAGTCCAGCTCTTAAGTGAATGGTCCATACAGAGATTGGACCCATGACCTTGGCATTATTAGCACCAAGCTCTAACCAATTGAGTTAACAAATAGCTGAAGAAAATCTGGTACAGAATGAGGGATTTTTCCATTAGTTCTTCAGTGTTAAGACAGTCATAGGGCAGAATAGACATTCTCAGAAGTAACGATTAGGTTTGACTGAAGTTGATTTTGGCTATGGAGAGTGCTAGTCCATCCCAAAGATGATATAATCTTACAGGTTGGTAGAGTAAGAACCATAAGACCAATACTGCTGAAGGACAGATCTTTTAGGTTTTAGTCTTACAAAGCTCTGTGTGGGTTTTTAATTTCATGCATGAATGCAAACCCGTTTCATCTGATGGATCTACATGCCTATGAAAGTCAAGTGCATGTGTCATCACACTTTTGTGAGATCAACATCACCTCTGCGTTATGGATAGGTGAGGGAAAGACAGTAGGAGTACTTGTCATGTTTTTATTTATTTATTTTCAGTAGTAGATTGATATTCCCTAGAGAAATTAATTCACAGAATTATCTTGAGTTATCTAAGAAATGCAGTAATTGAATCACTAGAAGTATTACCATTTTTAAAAGAGGTAAAAAATCATAATATTTTTCTAACAATTTAAAATATCTAGATGTCTAGAGAAAAAAGTCAGCTTCAGTGTATATATATATATGTATACATGCGAACTTTATCATACATTATAATCAGGTAGGCCACATGGTAACTTACAAACACTAGGAAAACATTATTTCTTCATTTAAAAGGATGCTAGGGAGTGATGTCCCTCAGGGCTCTATCTTGGGACTGGTACTCTTTAATAACTTTGTCAATGGCATAGACATGAGATCAAGTGCACCCTCAGCAAGTCTGCAGATGACATGAAGCTGAGTGGTGCACTGAAGGCAGGCTGAGAGATCTGGGGTTGTTTAGCTTGGAGAAAGGAAGGTTTTGGGAAGACCTCACTGCAGCCTTCTAGTACCATAAGGGGCCTTGTAAAAAGAAGGAAGAGGGACTTTTTATACAGTTAGAGACAGGACAATGGGCAATGATTTTAAAATGAAAGGAGGAAGGTTTAGATTAGATTTTAAGAATAAATTCTTTACTCAGAGGAGTAAAGAAAGCACTGGAACAGGTTACCCAGAGAAGTTGTGGATGCTCCATCCCTGGAATTGTTCAAGGCCAGATTGAATGGACATCTGAGCAGCATGATCTAGCGAATGGTACCCCTGCCCACTGCAGGGGGATTGGAACTAGATGATCTTTAAGGTTCCTTCCAACACTAGCCATTCTGTGCTTAAATACTTTGTTGGTTCTCACAAATATTAGAATAAATACATTAGACTACAGAACTGTGAAGGTATGACCAGTTTATTGTTATCATGGGCTTATTGTTATTCTTTGCTTAATTGATAATCAAGAATTTGATCCAGACCAAATTAGATTTGGTGAGGTCCTCAGGATCTTAAACCTCAGGGACTAAATCATTTTCTAAAGGCAAATCTTAGAGGTTTATTTTGTTTGTTCATTGGTTGGTTGGGTTTTTGTTTGTTTTTTAATGTATTTCCTTATTTTTAGTTTTATGACACTTTTCTGAAAAAAATTCACCAAATTACTTTGGATTTCACCAAGCATCAAAGTTCATACACAGTTGACATAATCAAGCTGAAACTTTTTCCCCCAATTTCATTCTGTGAAGGGAAAGATGAGCTTGCTTTGTTTCTTTACCAGATTCACTCACTAGAAACATACATGTATTTATTTACATCATAGACATCTATATGTAGGCTAAGGTTTTCTTTTATTGTTCAACAAAGTATCTTAGAAAAGAACTAATAAACTGCTTTAATCCTTTAATTTTTAAACATAGGGAAAAAACTTTGGCCTCTTATCAAAACACTTCAATACTCACTTCCAAAGCAAATGAGATATGTCAGGAAACCTTTTGAAGATGATGGATTGAAAACAATCCTGCAGAGAAGGACTTGTGGATATTAGTAGATGACATGAGCTAACAGTGTGCACTTGCAGGTCAGAAAGCCAAATGTGTCCTGGACTGTGCCAAAAGAAGTATGGTCAGCAGTAGGTGATTTTTCCTCTCTGCTCTGTCCTTGTGAGAGCCCCCCATACTGGTACTGGCATAGTACATACCATTTTCTATATTATTCTGTACTTTTCCACTAGAAAAATAGATTAATTTTGCTCTCTTTGACACAGTTTCAAATTGAAGACCATGAATTATTATGCATTTGTCTGATCTTCATTTTTTCTCAGGAGATTACCAAACTTCTATATTAAAATGATGAACTGTTATAAATAGGTATTTTTTGGTTTTAAGGACATATTAGCCCATGGTTCCCATAATATGTAGGGGGAAAAAAAAGGGTTTCTAAAAGTTATGTAGATTTCAGAATTCAATATATTACAAACATTTCTAAATATGCAGATTTAGATTTGTTTTCATCACTGATGTTTTTAAAATGGGTTTTCTCATCTTTTGTGTTAAAGTCTCTTTTTCATACTACCTCCGGCAAACAGTATCAGTCAAACAATAAAGTATTTAAATTCCTATTCACTTCAACAACTAGAAGGTTAACTCTCCAGCATTCATCATCCCTATATTTTATTGTATATAGCCACATATTCATAATGTATAGGGAGCCTATAAACTACAAAGTGTATCAACAAGAATAGGAATACCAGATGGCCTTATTCTGAGCCAGTATACTACCATAGTTAGAATACATTACTGCTAAACTTGTACAAAGTTCCATATTCTCATTACATTTTCATGAAACTGTTAAAGATTATATTTAGAATACAGCAAAAACCTCTATTGCAAAAATACTCATATGTATAGTACATTAAAAATAATTCTTACTATAAGATAGCCTAAATTTGGAATAATTTCTCTTTCTAATTGGGGTCTCACAATAACGAATGTTTTGCTGCTGTTTTAGGTCTTCATCTTTCTTACCCATCTCCTGATTATGGTTCTTCCTGATGCTTGCAGTGTAAGATTCCACCAATTTTTTTCAGTTGACTTCCACCATCACAACCCGATTTCCTAGACCCAGGAGTCCTTGCCTCCAGAATAGCTGGGTATTTGGCTCATATTAAAGAGCTTTGTTTTTTAGAAAATAAAACCCTTATCTTGACAAAGATTGTTTCCCTGACCTTTTTTATGTTGATTTTCATCCCCTATTCTTTTTTCTAGCTATATTTGATGGTTGCCTGACAGATTCATTCCCAATGTCTGTGTGTTCAAAACAAAACACTAGAAATATAACTTAACTAGAGGTTGTCATCAACCAGAATCTATTTGTCAAACACAGGGATATGCCAAATACTGAAAGCTAATCTTAGTCTGATCTAAGAATTCTTACAAAGTCATTTGTATTTATTTCTTTGTATAGTAATGTACAGGGGTTGAGACAGGAAATTTCTGTATGTGAGTATGAAAAAAGCTTTGAGGATGACAGGCTAATCACTGAATGTCTTGTAGATTCATAGTTTTAGTCATGTTTTTTCCAAGAGCTTATCACCAATGCTACAGAACCACAGGATATTAAGCATTACAGGAGTTATGCAGGAAGACCAAGGTTAGAGCTTCAGCACAGGTATAACAGCACAATATTAGAATAGATTATGGGAATATCCTCAATATAACCCTCACAGGAAGGATGAAAGGTACAAGGACAGGAATCCCAAATTCAAAATCATCAGAGAGCAGCAAAAGCAAGACCGCTCCACTAGAGAAGAGAAGCCAGGAGCCAAGGAAGATCACATGTGCACACATACACAAGCATACACTGAGTTAGAGCCTTCACAGACAGATCCAGTTCTTCCTGAGCAAGGTGAACAAGTCTGGACTGGTTACAGGAAAAGGGTCTGGTAACAACCAAGTGACCATCAGATAATGCAATTTGATGGGTTCGGTCTGAGGCCAAACCAGGAAGTCACATGAGCACATTGAGCCGAGAACAGCAGCATTGCTGAGGCTGGAATCGCAGCCCCACACTCAGCAAAAATAGGATCCTGGGCCATGGGCAGGGCTGGGAGGAAGTCCCAGCAGAGGCTGGTCAGGACTGCCCTGAAAAATAAGTGTGCTCACCCTGTCCATCTGCACCACGTTTATTATCAAATAGCTCTCTGGTATAAATTGTAATTGCTGACATTTCTGCAGTGGAAGGAAAAGTGCACAGCAGTGACATTCAGCATCTCCTGGACAGAATGTGGAGGTTATGCCTTTGACTTGATATATACGACAATGAAATTACGAGGTGTGTGTAGAGCTTATATGAAATAACCGTGTAGTACAGGCAAATGTGCACACAATCACTAAAAATTCTGAACACCCTAACAGACCAAATTACATTATTAGTTTGAAAATATTTTCATTTGTCTTCCAATTTTATCTGAAATTTTAAAAGTATATCTAATTCTAAATACGATAAAAACATCTAATACAAATATACCCTTGTCTGAACCTTTAGGATTCCAATATATGCTCCATCCAGAATATCCAGAGTGCCTATGGATCGGATTATCTTCTGCATGGACTGACACTAAAAAATATTCCCAGTAATTTAAGTTTTTAATGTAACATTAAAAATGCAACTTTATATTTTATTAGCAGTGTTGGACAGCTCCATGAAGCCTATATGAAAGCAGAGGCATTATAGCCTATACTAATCTTGTCTAGTGAAACTGACCCACCTTATATCTATGAAACAATAATAATTTATCTCAGAAACTAAACTGAATGTGAAGGATATTATAAGCAGTCACATTAAGGTATTGAAATTATGTAAATTTTTTCAGGAAGGCAGTTACATAGTGAAAACAAAAACTGAGTTTTCATTTAAAATAAAAACTCACAAACCATAAATCAGAGATTATATTGTTATTGATTAAATATAAACATTACAAGCAACTGAATTAATTTTTCCCCTTTAGGAGAAGAGATCTTCAGCTATAGGCAATGAAGTAAAAATTATATTTTGGTATCTATTAGTGTAAACAAGTCAAAGGAAATATGCAAACCACTATGGTTTTTATGTTGTGATGTATGAAATATTTAATTTCTATAAAAAAAGAAGATCAGTTGCTAAGGGAATCTTTCCCAGCCTAGGAGTCACTGTTGATGGAAGAAACACAAGCACTGCAACAGAGAGCTAAAACACCTTAAGAAGTTTTAAATAGCATGGTCAAAGACCCAAAAGAGATCAGCATCTTCATTCTAATCTAATATTGTATCAGCAAATGTCACTGAGCACTCAAATGATTTTAAATTGTTCATCTGTTTGAATCAGGAAGTCAATAGCTGTATATTGAAGAAAACCTATATGAAACCAGGTGAAAAAAAAATTAAAAAAAATCAAAGCAACAAACCCCTACAAAACCCCCAGACTTCTGCTCAAGAACATTGAGTGACAAGTTGGCAGGAGATTTAAATATCATAGCTGAAGAAAAGGAGTCTTCAATATACTAAAATAAAGTTTGGGGAAAACAGAAGGATTTTCTTATTTTCTTCTCCCCTGATATTTCTTTCTTCTAAGTATTAACTAGGTCAGTCATGATACTGATTGTACTGGAATTCCAAACTGCAGAGATTAATATTATGCTTTTCTAGCACTGAAACTCTTTACTTTAAACATTTTTTCACATGAGACAAATATATTCTTTAAAAAGAACTGAAAAAAAAAAAAAAGGCAGGAGTAATCCTTTCAAGTAAAAAATGTCTTTGGGAAATGATAGTTCCTCCAGCACCACATAGGAGTTATCTGAAAGTATGAAGAGCGTAAAATATTCCCATTCCAGTTCTATAAGTTTCTTAGATTAGCCTTCATCATTACAGATGTTATAGAGCAGTGTTTACATCACTGATGTATGTGCCATTTTTTTCCATGTTTTTCTTCTACCCTTATCACTGTTATAAGAAAAATTCACTCCTGCAGACAGGTTTATAATAAAAACTCATGCCTTACTAGACTCCTTTATTAAGGGTTAGGTTTTACAGGAGCTTTGTGCTACACTTCTGCAGAAATCTGAACTTCATTTGGTGACAAACACATTGCATCAAGTTCTCCTGAACCAGAAAGAAATATTACACATACCTCCACACTTAGGAATAGGTCCACTCCACATTACTTTTCCATCCATTAGAATACAAGTAATTGTTTCAGTTCCTTGTGTTTTAATAAATCCTTCTTCGCATATAACAGAAATTGAGCTCCCCAGTTGAAAGTTGTCTCCAAAACGCCGAGCATTGATTGGAACTCCGGGATCCGGGCACTCATTATGTCCAAATGCTTTTTAAGAGAAGAAAAAAAAAGGGGGTGGGGGGAAGGGGAAATAGTGTGATAACTCTTGCAAGTAACAGGACATTTTTAGGATTTTGTTCTGCAAATGAGAACAAAAAAATTATATTAGGAAAGAAAGGAAATAATAAGAAATAAAAAAAATTGATCAACATCAAAAAACATACACCGGTACAAAAAATTGCTTAAAATATAAAGTTATACCAGCATGAATCTCATCTTGGACAGCTAGGTGCTGGTAGATTTCAGTGATGGTTAAGTTCTCCTTTCCAAGAGTCCATCCTATCTAATGTTACAATGGGACAGAAGCATCCTTCAGGGCAAGCATCTATGATATAATAAATTTAGTCATCTTCTGCATATCCAATTCACTGTCACACCATCTGAACCATACTGACCTCAGTATGCCTAATACTACCATATTTTATTTTGTTACTTGTACTGAATGCTCATGAACAGTGACAAACGGGGTTTTCTTGGCAAAAGAAAGAAAATTTTAAACTTTAAACATAACATTTTGTTTAAGGTCAAACAAATTCCTAGTAGGTACAAAATTTCACGTTTATCTATGGACAAAGTGAAAAATTTTAATTTATGTGTATGCATCTAGATACTATAACAAAGCTTGTCCATGTCTTTTACTACAGAGCACATCTTAAACTTGGAGAAGAAAGATCATATTTAACACTATCATTAAAATATATGTATTGGTTAGCTATTGTATTTTGATGTTTTATTTATGAACACTGTGCATATATCCTATATTCTTCAGAATGATGATTTTTCAGTGAGGACAAATATTACAAGCATGATATCCACCTTCATCACACATGATGACTTCAAATTGTATCTTCAGAAATATTCTTACATATGGAGACATCAGAAAGGACTATAGTCTAAAAAGATGTTTTTCACTTTTTTTTTTCCCTGTAGTTTTACTAATGTGTCTACTAGACAAAACATACCCATGAAATTTTTAAAAAAGTAATATTTCATTAGCTTAGCAGAAAGATTTCTCAGATGTTGCATTACAAAGGTATTAAAAATCATAGCAACAGACAAGAGAAAGCATTTACTTATTGACATTTTGACTTAGGAAATGCCACAGATATTGGGAATGAAAATCATGCTTTCACTGAATAGTTGTCTACCATTCAAGGATGACATTAAAAATTATGCAATCCCATACTTTTCCATAGGGGTTACAAAAACTTTTCCAATACTTTATGCACAGTCACCACTTTTAGGAAGGGAATTGATTGTCTGTTTCTCTTACTACCTTCAGACAACACAGAGATAGATTTCCAATATTGTTATCTGTAAATGTAGATAAATTTTGACTCCGGGTTTAGTGTATGACACCAGTTTATTAAACCTGTAAAATCAATTCATTGCTCTATATTTCAGCTCAGGAACTGCTGCTCCTATGGAATTAATTGTACTATACAGAATGGCTTTGGGAGGCAAGATAGTGAAAGATAATCCTTCCCAAGAACGGCAGTCACTTTCTTAGCCTGGTTGCAGTTACATTACTTGATGGGCAAAACAGAGTCTGCTGATGCTTCTAAAAAGCTTCATGGTGGAGCTGTCCTATTATACAAGCCTTAGGTTGAAAAGAAAAAGAACACACAGGTACATCCTCAATTATATTTATATATTACTCATCAACAACAAATCAAGAAACCATGGTTCCTTATCAACTAGTTTTCCTGACTTGAATACTCATCAACTACCATGACTGTATAGGTGTACTAAGCAATATCTGGAAAAATGCCGGGAAGCATAGTGGTAGATCAGAGTGATGCTGATATTCTGATATTAACTCTAAAGGATGTTAAAGTATGAATTTTGTATTTAAAAAAAAAAATAGTTCAGGGGAGAAACTTCAGAGATCTCATGGGATTGGAAGGCAGAAATGAAGTTAATCAGAACTCATCCGGTCTAAAATCTGCTTTAAAACATCTTTGGAAATAGCACCAGCAAGGAGTGGTCCAGTGGCATAATTAATTATTTTAGTGGATTGCCCTATGAAGAGTTTCAGCTGGTAAGTCTAGAAATAGCTAGCAAAGGTAACCCTTTCAGAGGAAAATATCAGAGAATAAACCAAAGTTAAGAGAATATCAAATAACAAAGAGATACTTCATACTCAAAATTATTGTGAAATATTATTTAAAGCTATGCAAACAACTGGTAGCTTATTCAGTATATACATGTAAACTCACACTTTTTTTAGTACATTATAGTTTGAAGAATTCTATCTTGAGAAGTACTGACACTGAAAAAGACTAGCAGGAGAGAGTGCCAGGAAAAATGGGCTGTAATGAACATACCCTATCACAGCAATGAAACACACTAAAAGCACTCTTTAAATATAAACTCATCATCTGGGATTGTCAATGCTTTGGTCTACAGAGCTGAAATCACTGAATTAAATAGGCTGATGTCAGAGGCCCATCGTTTGACCTTTAGCAGGCTCCTATGCAACTCCTAAGGTTGTAGCTTTTGCTAGATAAAGCACAATTAAATAGTTGTTATGAAAAGAGCAACAAGAAATATCTGCATAACTGAGAGAAACAGCAGCTCTAAACTTATACAAAAATATTTGCCCAGCACCACCTATACCCCAATCAATGAGAAACAGCTCAAAGCAGTCCACCAGCTAGCCTGAATCAATCTAGAAGAAGCTCTCCACCTCAAAACATCCACATCAGCCCAACAGGAGGTTGGCCTATGGAATGCCTACTCACGGAGGACCTCATAAGTTTCTAGTCTCCTTTGCATCAGCTCCTTTGTCATGGGAATGAAACATCCATTCCCCTCCACATCAATGAAGATATTTACAGCACTAGCCTACATTCTTTTTAAAGAAGTAATCAAGTACTGTTTTTGTGACATACTATTCCTACTCTTGAAGGGGGCAAAAAGAGACTGATAACTTTGAAATATACCAACTGGTGTGTTAGAAGAAAATGGATATTTTTAATTAACTTTGGGTTTATAAATGCTAAGATAGAGTGAAATTCTATCAGTTTCTTTTTTTTTTTTTTATCATCTCTCTTACCCTTAAACTATTTATTATGGAAAGATTACTTCTGTAATTTATCAGACTGCAGCTGTCCTTACTGAAGAAAGAGTAGACACATTTTTTTGAGATTTTTTTGCTTTTGTTAGTAGATTTTAGCTACAGAGTTTAATAGACACATGAATACCTCTGTTCAAGCTTAAATACAATCATGAAAAGAAGTAAAAACTCTTAAATATATTAAAAGAACATGAAAGAGAAGAAAACATAGAGCAAACATTACAACTTCTGTAAAGAAATATGGATTCAATATCTCATTTTAATTATAAGTGATTTTATATTTCAGTAGTTCTGAATAACCACTGACTTTCCAATAATTAGTTAAACTACTAAGATATTTAGCTACCACTCTAAGTTTAGTTTGCAATGATAACTTGCATATATAGAAACCAATAAGAAGTCACCACATTTTCTTCATATTTGCACTCGACATTTGTGAGAAATGACCTGAGGATGAACCAGATAAAATAGAGGGCTGGGAGTTGAAATATGAGACAAAATTGGAAAAAGAATGTTTGCAGAATAATCTGGTGTCAGTTCATCTCTAAGTCTTAATAAATACTTCTCTGAAAGGCTGACAACCTAAAATAAAACAAAACAAAAGAGAGAGAAAAATCAAAGATGGACAGTGAAAGATGATGTAAGAAAAGTAGAGATCCATAGGGGAATTTAGTCCTTGAAATATTATGAAAATAATTTTAATTTTAATTTTCCTTGGAAAAAAAATGTGGATTCTAGCTCTCTCAATGACAAACCTTACTTAATCTCATTTCCTCTTTGGTTAAATGGATCCTCTTTGGGGTTTTTTTGGTGTTTTTTTTTGTTTTGTTTTGAGTTTTTTGTTTGTTTGGTTTTTGTCTGTTTTTGTTTTGGGGGGTTGTTTGTTTGTTTGGCGTTTTTGCTTTAATTTGGGGGCTTTTTTGGTTTTTTTTTTTTTTAAGTAAAACATCTTAATTAATTGTTTTTCCCACATAGACAAGTAGGTAACACATTATTCTGGGGAGGGGAGATGTAGGTACACAGTTCTCCTTCCAATGATGCAGTTGAACATTCCCCTGCATCTTAAGTAAGCCTCTGGAATTATATATAAACTCTTAGACAATAGGGAAAAAGACAGGAATAGTACTGGTTGCTCATGACATCAGACTTTTTGGAATATGAAAATATCCATCATATTTTGCTTATTTTGTCCATCTGTTGGCATGGAAAGCCTCTGCCATCAGAAAGAAAAGAAAGCAAACAAATAAACAAACAATAAAATACAAATGTGTGAGGTGGATAAGGTGGAGAAACTCTGGAGGATATGCAGATCCCCCCAGCAGACACTCTCTTATCCCTACCATCCTCTACACAGAGCTCTAAGACTGGAACTTCAGGCATTTCCGGTCCTTCCAATTTCCTTCCAACTACCCAAAAGGAACAACTTGGCTGAACTCAATCCTCCTCATTTCACTGTTGCTCCCAGTTATTCATGCTGTGGCTTTACAAATTGCTTCACCACATCTACCGTGGGTTTTGGTGTGAGATAAATGCCAAATAACTTGATAGAAACACAACATAGGCAGCTCTTCATATGTCCTTCAGAAGAAATGTAACAGTTCTGCCAGGAAAAACTAAGGTGGATAAGTGCTAATAGTATTTAGTACTGGAGAAGATATTCAATATAACCTTCAATTATTATTATGCTGTCAGTAAATGTATGTAAGGAAGGTAAAAGAGAGAAAAAGAAAACAAATCTATTGTGGTTTAACTTAGATAAGAGCTCCTATGGCTGCTCACTTTAACTGCATTGACTAGGAGCTACCACACACTGCAACCATTAGCTCCAGGATAATATAAACATTCACAGCTAAACTAACATATGAGTTCTCAAGAATAACTGTTTTGTACATGTAATGATGGCGATTGATATTATGTAGCACAAATTGCACTATCAGCAAGTTCAGTAAAGTCCTGTTATACAATTTGAAACTTGCCTGGTTTGACAGTCATCAAACAATGATCTCTAAAGCCATAAATGAGAAATTTGCACATATTTATCTCTAAAGCCACAAATGAGAAATATATACATACTTTCAGCCCTAGCACAGAATTTATACAATAATCCAAATGCCTAATTTAGCATTTTTCTGAAGGTGTATTACCATAGTGTCATGTTTACACACTTATGCCTATCTCCTAAACTGTATGTTGAAAAAGATGCATGCACAATAAAAAAATACTATTACTCACTGTTATAAGTGATGTTAAATCCACGTCCTGACATTGAATGGTCAGCTTGAAATTCCAGACGCAAAATATGGCCATTACTGGTAAGATGGGAAGGAACTTCAGCACCAGTAAATGTTCCTATTATGGGGGAATCTGGAGAGTCACCATCTTTAACTGCAAGGAAGTCAAACTGAGATTCCAAGTCAAAGTCATTAAAGGAGAGATGGATTCGGCTCCCAGGGTCTGAAATTATTGTCCAGATACAGTTTAAATTATTTCCATATCCCTCTGGATAATCAGGTGAAAGAACTGTTCCCATTGGTGCAGTAAAATTGGAAAGGCAAGGAACTGCCAAAAAGAGAGAGAGATTAGACAACAGAATAACACATTTCCATAAGGATTTATTTTAGTGCTAAATTTTTGTAAGAGAAAACTTGCTGATTACCTCAACTGAATAATTCATTATTTGTAATGATCTGTGAATCTAAAAGAAAGGTGGTTTGTTTTTTTTAATCTTCGTATTCCCTTCCTCTCAATAAAACTACCTCTCAAGCAGAGCCCCCAAGAAATAAAGAACATCCTTGTTACATTGGAAATCCACGGTAGTCCTTACAATTTAGCCATGATAACAATCACTTGGCACCACTTATTTTCTCTCATAGGGAAGTATTTAGATGAGCAGACTTCCCACTGAGCACATTAAAGGGGCAGAAAGTCAATAGTGCTCTTATCATTTGTTGTTCACACAGTGGCACCAGAAATTAACAAGCCTCAAAGAGACAACAGAGATGTTTTGTTGTTATCAGGATAATGTTTTATATTAAATCAATTCAGTTAAGCCATACTAAATTGAGTTGCAGAGATGAAAGCAGCTGATTGCACTCTATTTGATCCATACTATTTTAGTGGAAAATTTAAGACAGATGCTGCCACAAACATGTATCACAACATTGGTTTTACTTATGCTGTATAATGTAATGCAAGTGGAAGAGAGCTATAAATGTCTATGATAATGTAAGTGCTAAAAGGTATTCATATATAATACATGGAAAAAATGTAAATGATGTAAAACCTTGATTTCAATTCAGCAACTTCTAATGTAAGGTAATATATTAGCGTATAAGACTAGATATAAAAAGTGTATCATACATATAAAATCTACAGAATCCTACCAAAAAAAGCCAATAATAAAACACTGTATCAAATCACATAAAGAGAAATGCTTTAATAGTTGCTATAAGAGAAAAAAGTATTTTAGCAGTTCTAGAACCTGTCTTGGGCATAATCATTAAGTAAACCCACTACTGAACAAAATAAATTAATCCAGCCAGCAAAATTAATTGTATTGTGCTAACTCTGAAATCAATCACACAAATTATTACCTATAAGTAAAAACTTATCATAATGTTATGTCTTAAAAATAATAATAAGAAAATATTCAGTACATACAAATACAGATTGGTATGTTTGCAGACCACTGGTTGTTTTCTTGGCAAATGATAGATTTCTCTCCAATTAATTCAAATCCAAACTGACACTCAAATCTTAAAACATCACGATTAGAAAATCCATCCCCTTCTCTGATACCATACAATGGTGTTCCAGGATCCCCACAGCTTTCCTTTTCAATTTCTGTTGAAATAAATAAGAAATTTATTTATAAAATAAAAAAAACTTCTTCCAGGTATATGCTGCATCTATAAAATTTCAAGCAAATTAAAATCTTCTACATAAGAACAGTTGCCAAAATGTACCACCGAGTCTGATTCTATACTCAAGCTTCTTAAGGAGGAAATTTCGTGTAAGGAATCCCATCAGGGGGAATGAGTGAGTGGTTGTGTAGTGCTTAGTTGTTGGCTAGGGTTAAACCATTACAAGACTAGGGCCTTAGAAAAATCAGAACTGTTTATGTTTATAGACTACTTGAAATTTAATTTTATTTTGTAAAATTTTAGACAATAATAACATTTAGTAAAATATCACCAGTAGTACATGAGCTCTTAAAAGTAGAAATAGAGACCTGTCCACATTTCAATACAGGTCAGACTGACGAACCAATGGCAAAGAAAGGGAGTAGTGACAGAAAAGAATTACCCAGAGTCAAAAAGAGGTTAGACATAAATAAGTAGGTATATAAACAAATTTATATACACTCACATTATGTAAACACATGCAAAAAACAGCTCTACTCAAATAACATTTTACCTCAGTAGTCTTCACTGCAAGGAATCTGAATGATTCTGTCCTATTTCTACAACTGTTAGAGCTATTATATTCTCTCAAATTGTATCCTGTTCTGAACTTTCAGTGATAGAGGCATGGAGGGATCTTCTAAAAGCATTTCCACTCATGCCTTTCAAAAGTTAACAGGGCAATTCAAGCCATAATTATAGGTATGAGTTGGAAGAGACCTTAAATATCCTCTACTTCCAACTCTCCTGCCATAGCCAGAGACACTTCCATTAGATGGGGTTACTAAAAGTCCTGTCCAATATAACTTTGATTACTTTGAATTATGGGGCATCCACAACTTCTCTGGGACACCTGTTCATAATGAAAAATGTCTTACTTATATTCAATCAAAGTCTATCCTCTTTCAGTTTAAACACATTAGCTCTCATCCTAGCACTGCACTCAGTGATAAAGAGTCCCTCCCCATCTTCCCTGTAAGCCCTCTTTAGGTGCCGGAAGGCTTCTATAAGATCTCCACAAAGTCTTCTCTAAGTTAAATGACCCCAGTTCTCTTAACACGTCTTCATAGGAGAGGTGTTCCAGCCCTTTGATCCTCTTCATGGCTCTCCTCTGGACCCACTCTATTGGGCTCATGTTTTTCTTATGCCAGGAGCCCCAGAGCTGGAAGTGGTACTTCAGGTGGGGTGTCCCAAAAGTAGAGTAGAGGAGGAGAATCACTTCCCTTGACCTGCTGGCCACGCTTCTTTTGATGCAGCCTAATGTGCAATTAAGTTCCTGCTCTGCAAGAACACATGGGAAGGTCATATCAATTTTTCATCCACCAATATCCTCAAATAATTATCTGCATGTCTGCTCACAATGCACTCTTCACTCAGTCTATAGCCATATTTGGGACTGCCCTGATCCAGATGCAGGAACTTGCACTTGGTGTTGTTGAACGTCATGAAGTTCACACAGGCCCACCTCTCAAGCCTGTCCAGGTCTATCTGGATGGTATCCCTTCCCTTCAGTGTGTTGACCACACCAAACATCTTGGAGTCATAAGAAAACTTGTAGAGGGTGCACTCAATCCCACTGTCCATGTTGCTAAAACACATCACACTGGGCCCAGTATGGACCCCTGAGGGACACAACTCATCACTGGTCTTCACCCAGATATTGTACTGCTGACTGCAACTCTTTGAGGGTCACCATCCAGCCAGTTCCTTATTCACTTGTAGTATATTTGTCAAATCCATGTCTCTCAATTTTAGAAACAAGGATGTTGTATGTGACAGTACCAAATGCTTTGCGCATGCCCAGGTAGGTCATGCTAGGTCATGCAATTCCTTTATTCACCAACACTATAGTGCCAATGTAGAAGACTTAGTTTGTCAGGCACGATTTGCCTGTACTGAAGCCATTCTGGTTGTCACCAATCACCTCCTTATTTTCCATGTTTCCAGAAGGACCTTCTTCATGATCCTGCCAGGCACAGAAGTGCGACTGATTGGCCTGTAGTTGCCTGGGTCTTCCTTTTTAAGTTTTAAAAAATAGGGGTTCTGTTTTCCATTTCCTCTCAGTGGGAACTTCAACAGTCTGCCACAACTTTTCAAAGACAGTGGCTAGTGGCCTAATCTCATTTGTCAGTTCCCTCAGGACACTCAGATGCATCTCATCAGGCCCCGTCAACTTATATGCCTTCAGGTTTCTTAGATGGTCTTTAACCTGGGTGGTCTTCTGTGGTGGGAGACACTTCATTCTCCCAGTCAGTGTCTCTATTCTGTGAGGTGAGTGGTGTGCCTAGAGCACTTGCTAGTGAAGTACAAGGTAGAAAGATTTTTGAGTACCTCAGCCTTCTCCTTGTTTGTTTTAACCAGGTCCCCTGTTTCACTCATTATTGCAGGTACAGTTTCTTCCATCTTTCTTTGTTCTCCTGTGTACCTGAAGAAACTGTTTTTGTTATTTTTCATTCCCTAGTCAGGTTCAGCTCCAGCTGTGCCTTGGATTTCTTGATCCTCTCCCTGAGATGGGACCTCAGGAGGTGTCCAGGCTCCTGCTCAAGGCAGGCCCAGCTTTGAGCTAAGACCAGGTACTCAGGGATTTATCCAGTTGGGTCCAGAAAACCTCCCAGGATGAAGAATGTTCTAGTAAGGTAGGCAACATCTACTGCTGTTCCCCTGTCCAGTGACCAAGTAACCTATATTAGAGCTTGCTAATTTTATTAAAGAATTAGGTATTCACAATCACTTTCTTCACATGCCAGAAAAGGGCATCCAAGAAGACTTGATCCATGATTTCCCCAAGAACTGAATAAAGGTCAGCCTGCATTTACATAGGTCAGGCTTTTGTTAAAGGTCATAAAACTTTTTTCCAGTCTTTGTGTATCTCTCATAAGCTTGACAAACCACCAAAGATAGGGAAATGGCCTTGGAAGGAGATTCACCAGTTCTGTTAGCACCCTCGGGTGCAGTCTGTTATGTATTAGAAACTTGTAAAGAGAATATTGTGCTCAAGATAATAAACCTAGGAATGCACTCATCATCCACAAATAGAGAAAATATGGTACATAAGTAATAGAAATTCAGAACAAAATGGTTTTTTCCTTGTCTAGTCCAACTATCACAAACTTCTTTCATGAGAGATGATAACTATAAAAAGGATAGAAATCTTAAAAATAAAATTAACTTATCACATGCAATAATAGCAACAAATATCCCAATATCATAGTTTGAAAATTTCTCTTTAAAGGTCTTGTTACTACTTTTTTACATTTCCATATATTTTGACTGTGAGAAAAAAACAAACAAATAGCATTTTGATTTCAACTCAATTTCTCTGGAGTAATATTTTCAGCAGCATGCACTTGATTTCTCAAAGCTTTCAGCTATTAAGGCTCTAAAAACAATTAAAATGTGACAAAAAGCAAATAAAGAACATTCCATTTAAAAAGAAAATGAAAAAATGTTGAAGATTTTTTTAAAAAAGACTTCACAGAGTTTTAAAAGGCTTTATTTTTCTGTTTGGTTAAATAAAAATCAAAAGCAACAAAACAAAACCAGTCAATAATAAGCACAAAACCCATTAACTTTTCTTATTGCTTTATTTGTATTTTTTAAAACAGTTCTAGGAGAAGATAAATATAATTCATTATTTTAAAAAAATAAAATCAGGTTCAAACTCTCCTGAGATCACAGACCTCCAACAAAAGTTACAGCTGTCCTGAAGAAACAATGTAAAATATCCCAAAGAACACATGAACTCACTCCTCCTATCTTCAGTGTTGGTGAGACTGCCAATGTCAAACCTACAGAACTACTCGGTTTTTAACTGCCAAAGAAATACAAAATTTTCTTAGGCTGTCCTTGTGGACCAATACTATTCTAAGTGTCTAAGTCACTTCATATTTCATTTAGGAAAACAAATGCATTCTATAAACTAGTTCTCCAACAAGTGATTACATTAAGTATCTTAATATAGTTTTCTCAAACAGTACATGCTAGACAATAAATTTATTTATACCTACTTAAATTTAGTCTCCTTTGGGGCTACTAATCTGATGTAGTTGGGCAAATGGTTCTCTTTAATTATTATTTCATCCCAAACAACAGAAGTTTCCATGTGTTTTGTCAAATTTGAAAATATATATATATATGAGCAGAGCTATCCCTGTTAGGACTTAAAGGAACAGTTTCTACATTCAAAAATTGTTAGGTAGACTATAGTTATTTACAGGAGCTACTTGGAAAAAAAGATTCCTTTATCCTATGTGATTGCTGTATTTGAGGGATTACATCCATAGCCTTATATTGAATTTGCTTTCATAAATGAAATTAAGTTGGACAAAATGTTATATGAACAACAGAATTAAATAAAATAAAATGTCTCTAAACCTCATTTGTATCCATTTACGTTTATAGCAAATATTACCTCAGTATTTTAAATTTGTCCTGCTTGCATTGCTTGCAACATCCTTATATACTTCTCTGTAAATTTTGTATTAGCATCAGTTCATCTCTGAATTTGAAACAGAATATTTTTGTCATTACTTAGCTCTCCTCAGGAGTAGAAATGATAGGATTGGGTTTTTTTGTTTTGTTTGGAGTTTTGTTGTTGTTGTTTGTTTTGTTTGTTTTGTTTTTGTTTGTTTTTTTTTTAATTGAAGTGCAAATAGTTTTTGGATTTGTTTAGAGAACATCAAAAAACTTCTTTTAAAACAGGAAACAAACATTCTGCTTTCTGGGCTTTTGTCAGATAATCACATTTTAAATAACAAGATCTAATTCATATTTGTTTGAATTCACTAAGGGGGAAATTATATTCACGTTTTTTACTACTAACTCTACCACTTGTGTTTCAGCTTCCCTGCAATGTATACTTGTTTCAAAAACTCCTAAGAAGTTAGGTTCAGAGCCTGACAGAGCCCCTCTTCTTGATAAACTCATTCTAGTCCCTCACTG